ATTATCAGAGAGGAGCGCTGGCCTTCCCACTGCAACCACCAAGCTGCCAGGCAGAGGTGAAAGATGGGTCTCCCTGCCACAGGGACGCGGACAGCCGTGAAGACGTGGTGGCCGAGCTGATTTAGGACAAGAGGAAGGAAGAAGGAAAGGCAGAGAGGCAGAGATCTAGAGCCAGCAAGATGGAGACCAGACCCAGAAACAGAGACGGGCAGATGGAGAATGAGACACACACGGAGAGACAGAGACAGGGTGAAGAGAGATGCAAACGCGCAGAGAGATAGTGACAGGGAAGACAGAGACAAAGAGAGACAGAAGACAGAAACGTAAAGACGCAGAAAGTGTGAGAAAAAGAGACCAGAGACACAAAGACATAGAGATGCCAAGTTAGATACACAGGATCCCAAACACAGAGGAAAACAGAGGGACCTACGAGAGAGAGCTAGAGATGGGACAGACTCGCTGAGAAGGAAGAAAGAGCCACAGAGATTTCACACAGACAGAGGATAGAGACAGTGAGAGACACACTCCAAGAAACCAAAGCAGCCAGAGAGAGTCCTGGTCCTCTGGTCTCAGTCTCTCCTCTGTGACCCCGAAGCTGCACCGGTGTGTCTGCATATGAGGACGCAGGTGCATAATCATGTGTGCTTATGCCATACCTCCTGCAGTGCATGGCTGTGTCTGCGCGCTTGGACGCTGCTTGCATGCATTTAGCCACTCATTCAATAGTGGGTGCCTGCAGGGTGCCAGGCTCAGCTGAAGGACGGTATTAATGGTGGACAGGGACACTCATGGAGCTTTCATGCTTATTAGTGGAGACAGACAACAAACAAACAAATACCAGAGCTATGTAGAGATTTAAAACAGGGTCAGGCTGGGCGTAGTGACTCACGCCTGTAATCCCAGCACTTTGGGAGACGGAGGCAGAAGGATCACTTGAGGCTAGGAATTCAAGACCAGCCTAGGCAACATAGCAAGACCCTGCCTCTACAAAAATATTTTTAAAATAGCCAGGAGTGGTGGTGCCAGCCTGTAGTCCTAGCTACTCAGGAGGCTGAGGAGGGAGGATCACTTGAACCCAGGAGTTCAAGGCTACAGTGAGCTGTGATCACACCACTGCACTCCAGCCTGGGTGACAGAATGAGTCCCTGTCTCAAAAAAACCAAACCAAACCAACCAAGCAAATGAACCCCAAACCGGGATCATGTGATGGGGAGCAACTAGGGGCTCCTCATACCTGGTGATCAGGGAAGGCCACTCTGAGGAGTTGACTTAGGAGGTGAGACCTGGATATCAAAAAGCCACCCTGGCAAAGACAAGGGGCAAATCCTTGCCGGCAGAGAGAAGAGTTGGTGCACAAGGGCTGAGGGGAAAGTGAACTTAGTGAATTCAGGAATGAGAAAGGAAGTGAGTGGGTGGCTATAGCTTTTGGGGTGAGGTGGCTGGACAGGAAGGCAGAGGCGAGATCATGAAGGACTTGGCAAGGCCAAGGGAAAGATTTGGGGCTTTATTCTAAGAAGACTGATAAAACAGAGTGAAGCCAACGGATATGGGTTTGAAAAGGTCTTCCTGGCCGGGTGCAGTGGTTCACGTCTGTAATCCCAGCTCTTTGGGAGGCCAAGGCGGGTGGATTACCTGAGGTCAGGAGTTCGGGACCAGCATGGTGAAACCCTGTCTCTACTAAAAATACAAAAATTAGCCAGGCGTCGTGGCGGGGGCCTGTAATCCCAGCTACTTGGGAGGCTGACAGGAGAACTGCTTGAACCAGGGAGGCAGAGGTTGCAGTGAGCCGAGATTGTGCCATTGCACTCCAGCCTGGGCGACAAGAGCAAAACTCTGTCTCAAAAAAAAAAAAAAAGAAAGAAAGAAAAGTCTTACTGGCTGACGGATGGGAAGTAAGTGGGTGGTGGGGCCCCATGGCAGCAGGCAGATCAGTTGGGAGCTCTTGCAACAAACAGCCCAGCAGAAGATGATCATGGCCTGGGTGAGGGTTGCAGCTGTGGAGGTGGGGAGGAGTAGATGGATGTGGGCTGTATTTGCGGGGTAAAATTGACAGGATTGGATGGGGGTGGTGGGGAAAAGGAAGGAGCCAAGGTTTTCAGGTTTCCACCTGAGCAACAGAATGAATTATGGTGGCATTTAAAGGGATGAGGAAGTCAGGAAGGGCATATCTGTGGAAGAGTAATCAATCATGTGTGATGTGTCTGCGTGTGAGCCCATATGCGCATATGCCAGGGCCCAGGTGTGCACATGTACATGTGGGGGTTCTGGTCCACTGTTCAAGCCTCAGACCTTCACACCATCTCTGCCTGAACGCATGGGGGCTCCTGGGCCTGTCCTGGGACCAGGCCCTGGGTTGGCTCTTCACCCTGTCCCAGCCTCAGGGGCTACCCCTGCCATACGGGGATTCCCCAGTGGGGGGCAGAGGGCCCTTGGGCACTGCCAGCATCTGGGCATACTACCAGAAGGCCTTGGTAGCCCCACCCAGCAGCAGCACGCAGGCTCCAGGGCAGCTGGTGGTGATTAGCAGCATTGATTACCTCGTGGTGATGCCATCTGAGGTGAGGGCACTGAGCCCAGCCCCATGGGATACCCAGATGGCTGGCGTGCAGGGCTTTCTGGCATTGAATGTGTGTAAAAGTGTCAGCATAGCTGCATGTATGTATATGTGTACATGTGTCATTGTGTGCATGTCCCAGCTGGTGTTTCTCTGGGAGCCAAGTCTGTGTGGCCATCTATGTCTGTGTGCACACAGGTATGTGCTGCAGGTCTGCAGGCTTCTCTGCTTGCATATTTGAGTAATTATGCCTGTGGGCACATGTATGTTTGCATGCACACATGTCTGTGTGTACATGCATGTGTCTGTCTGTGCACATTCAAGTATATGCAGTGCTGTTTGCACGCATTCTGAGAATTATGCACCTGTGTTTGGATATGTCCAGGGATATATTTCTGTGGGGTAATCTGGGCTCTTACATGTGTCTCTGTGTATCTTTTATGTGGAGGCGTATCCTGTGTGTCTACACATCTGTGTGTAACTGTTTCTAGGGCCAGGGTGTGTCTGTGTGAACATGAGTGCCTATACACGCATATGGAGTCTACATACCCAAGTGCTGTGCTAGAACTTTACCTGACTGCGTGTTTCTGGATGTGCGCACGTATGTGTGGAAGGGAGGAAGGGGCACGGGCACATTCCTAGACTGTGTCTATGATAGTGTTTCTAGGCGTCAGGTGTGTCCCAGGCTTGGCTGTTCCTGTGAGCACCCTTGGGGTGCTGTGGGAAGGCATCTGGCTCTCCCTTCTCAGGTTCCTCCATCCCCGGCCCAGTCACCTGCCCTGTCTGGGGCACGGGTGGGAGCTGTCGGGATGGCACGGTGGTTAAGAGCACGTGCTGAGTCTAGGCTGGCTGGACATGAGTCCTGCTCCACCACTGACTAGCTGTGGGATCCTGGGCAAGTTGTGTTTTTCCTGTGCTGCAGATTTGGGAATAAAAGTGGAATTCTGCCTTAAGGTGTTGTTGCAAAGATCGAAAGAGTTAGCATATGTGAAGTTCTCAGCACAGAGCCTGACCTATGTGTGTTTCCCACCTCTCCCGAGTGCCCACTGCTGGGGCAGCACCCTCTGGCAGGGCAGGCGGGGCTTGTGCCCACCCACCCCTCAAGCCAGAGTGCTCAGAAGGCCCCACCCCCTCCGCTTCCCGCCTGCTGAGCTCAGCACTTCCCAGGCCCCACCACTGCCACCGCCACATCTGGGCCAGCTCCTCACTGGGACCACAGTGGGGCGCCTCTGTGGCCTGGTTGGGGTTTCCGCTGACTCAGCGCCTCTGGGTCTGGAGACGGGAAATCCCAGGCCTGCCCCCCACAACCTCCCCCTGCGTTAGCGTTAGCTGGGGCCACAGGGCTGGGTGCCTTGCTTCCACAGGGCCCCCTTTAATTGGGGACGCTTAGTTTCTCCCTCTTCAGCCCAGCATCTCATGGCCTCTTGAACCTACTTTGTGGATCCTCAGCCTTGGTGCCAGTAAATTTGCTTTTGGTCTACAGGGGGAGGAGACCCTTGGTGGGGGATTCACCTTGGTCAACGGCCCTGCCTCTGGACAGAACTGGAAACATTACCAGCTCCTTCCGCCTCAGAACTCCAATCTTTCAGCCCAGCTCAAGTCCTCTTGCGTCCTTGGACCGTGAATATAAAGCAGGCCCCTCCACAGTTCTGGTATAAAGGCTTGAAATTCAGTCCCGTCCCCTGCCAGGGATCACAGTAATAACGATAATAGCAGCAAATATTTACTGAGCTCCTCTTATGTGCCAGACCATGTGCTAAATGCTTACAGCCTTTGGCCCATTTCCTGCTTACAGCAAAGGTCTATGAGGCACATACTCTCACGATCCCATCTTCCAGATGAGAAAAAGGAGTATGGTTACATAGCACATTTGGAACTGCAAAGCCAGAGTAGGGGCCAGGGATTTGAGCCCTTCCAACCTCATGGAGTAAGGAGGAATAAGGGGACTCCCTCAGTCTCACTTCTCTGGGAGTCAGGCCAGAGCAGAAGGGGTTAATTTAGCACGGGGGGGGGGGGGGGGGGGGGGGGGGGGGGGGGTTGGGGGGGAGGGGATTCCCCCCCTCCTCCCAGTACAGACAGACTTAGGGACTGACTGACTGGGAATGTTAGGCAGAGGAACTGGAAAAAGCTGACCACAAAGGCTTGGGTGGCAGCCACATCATGGGTGCCACGCACTTGGGAGGAGGGTCTCTACCCTTCTCCCTCCACCCCTGTCCCTCCCCCGCACCCCCCGCCCCGCAGCCTTCTGGGGGCCCAGCCAGGGACACGGAAAGGGGGGCACTTCAAACTCCAGGCCTGGCTCTTAAAGGGCCCGCAGGAACCCCCTTCCAGGGCAGCTCTGGACACGCAGGGTCCCGCCTAGCTCGAGGCTCGCTCACCTGGCGGTGAGGCAGGAGGGGCGGGCCTGGGAGCTCGGCCAGACCCGGGGCCGGGCTGTGCACCCCGCAGTCCAGCCGCCTCTGCTGCTGCTGGAGCCCCCTCTCGGCCCTCCTCCTCCTCCTCCTCCCTGGCGGGCCAGTCCAGCTGTGTTCCATTAGTGTCCCTGGCAGGTCCCCAGCCCCCTGGAACCGCCCCTCTTCCCCCACCCAGTCCCCGGCAGGCGTGCAGGGCAGTCCCCGGCAGGCGTGCGCCGGGCCGCAGACAGCCGGGAGAGCTCCAGAGAGTGTCAGGAAGCTGGGGACCTGTGACTGTCAGGGAGAGATGGAGAACCCCCAGCGGGCCTGAGGAACCCAGCCTCTGCTTCCTCCGGCTGCTGCCTGCACTGCTCAGCGAGGTGGGGGGATCCCCGGCCACCGGTAAGTGGGGATACAGTGGGTGGCCTCAGGGCTCTGGGCTGAGAGGCCCTTTCTGCCAGACTTGCTGTGTGACCTGGGGAAAGTGGTATTCCCTCTCTGGGCCTTGGTCATCTTCTCTAGAGCGAGATGAGCTCTAAACTCCATCCTGGTTCTGACTGTCCCTGTGCCCAAATCTACGCCTCTGTATTGAGGTGAGCCATCTCCTTGGAAGCTTCTCTGGCTATCCTTGTAGCCCTCTACTCTGGCTGGAGCCTGAGGAGTGGCGACCAGAGACTAGGAGCCAGAAGGGGACAGGATCACATCCATCCTCACGCCTCCACATGCACCCACATGGCGCCACAACTGGCAGCTCTTCTATTGGCTGGCAGGAGGAAGGCCAGGATAGGGTTTGAGAGCTGGGATGTGTATATCACTAGGATGGGGGATGAATAGGTTGGGGGCACAGTTCTGTCCCAGGGAGAAGGGGGCTGGAGTCCTATCCCAAATATATTGGGGTAAGGGGCCCTTTCTGTTTTCATTTCCTATCCATGATTGAGGGAAGGAAAATTGGATTCCATTAGAGTTGGAAGGAATGCAGTCAGACTTGCATTAGAACTTTCCAACAGGAAGACCTACAGGAGGGGTGGTCATAGGCTGGCTGTGCGCATGTGGGTATGTGCAAGCTGGTGTGTCTGGGTATATCAGCGAGCATATGTTTCTGTGAGCATGCCTGTGGGCAGATAGCTTTGTATGCACATTGGTACCACATATGTGTGTCCTTATGTACGTGTACCTGTGCATCTGCGTGTGCTGCGCTGACACATGCATGGCTCTGTGTTTGTGCATGTGAGCTGCCTGTCCTGGGGGAGGCCAGATGATGTATGGCTCTGCTGGCCGCTTGCTGAGCCTGCATTGATTTATCTGGGCCGATCCATCAGGGTTTAATAAAACTAAAAGACAAGCATCCATCAGTGGGTGGGGGGGGGTGGACAGCAGGAGGTTGGCAATGAGGTCCTGAGCCCTAGAGACCTGCTGTCCTACCCACTATCCCCATGGGGAAAGCTTCCTTGGCCCCCCCACAGCCCTGTGGAAGCCTGTGGCCCACAATCTCAGCCCAGTCACCAGCCCCTGACCCTGTGGGTGCCTGGCAGGGCTTCCCGGCCTGAGCTAGGTGCAACTAGTAAAGTATCAGGCTGGTATAAATACCAGGACAGTGCACAAGGTGTTAGACTATTGAAATACTTCCATGTGTCTTGATAAATAGCCTCTGCTTTAAGCCCCCATCACTATTCCAACTTCTCTGGCCTTTTAAGACCTTCTAGACCTCTCCTCAATCCAGCAAGTGTCCACTGGCGCAGCCGGATGCTGCCTGGACACTATTTCAGTGCAGTAGGCAGTTTTCTGCATTGCCTGAAAGCTGGTATCCGTGCCATACCGGTGGTTAAATATTTTGAATATCACCTCTGCTCAAATCCTAGCCCAGGGCCTGTGGTTGGGCCTCTGAGAGAGACCGTTGCCTGGCCAGACCTCCTGCCACCCCAATACCAGTGCCTGGGCCCCACGGGCGGGCCACGACTTGCCCACCTGTGGAGCTGTGCTGTGTGAACTCAGAAATCCGCCTTCCCGGTGTCTGTGGTTTTCAGGTGCTGTGGCTGTAGCCGACCTCTTTGGACCAGGATGTGGGTATCCTGGGCTCCTGGCCTGTGGCTGCTCGGTCTTTGGGCTACCTTCAGCCATGGGGCAAATACAGGTGAGATGACACAGGAGAGTCAGAGTATCACAGGCCTGCAACTGGTTTCCTGGGGTGCTGGGGTCCTTGCACATATGTGACCATGTATGTGTGGTCATGTGGGCAATTATAGCAGAGTCTGGGCTCAGGGTGGTCTGAGGTGTTGGTGCCCTCGAGCCTACGTGCGGTGAGCTGGAGAGTGTGTGCACGTGTGTCTTCATATGTTTATGTCTCTGAGCATCTCTCTGTTTGTCTCTTAGACTGGCTGTGTGCATTCGTATGTATTCCTGTGTCTCTGTGTGTAACAGGACAATCCCCCACCCCAATACGTAAGCCAATCCTGTGGACACATTGCTGATAGGACCAGTGGGGTGGGGAGGAACAGGCGGTGAACTCTCCCTGCACAAGGATGCCGCCTCCCCAGAGAACCCCAAGTCCCGCTGATCCTTTTCATGGTGGAGACTCCATCCCTCTAGCTCACGTGCTTCTTCTCCTCCACGACTGGCCCCGAATTTCTAATAAAAGGCCCGCCCCGAGGCCCAGACTCTGGATGAGACAGAGGGTGCAGCTTTCCAGGGCCCAACGCCAGGGGAAGTTGACCGGGCAACTTGCCTGGCCTTGCTGGGTGCCCTCTGGGCTTAGTAGCTCAGCTGCCTAGCCAAGCAGGAACAGAACTCCTAGGACCCAAATCCAGCTAGGAAAAGCAAAAAAACCAAGAAGCTGAGGTGAAAGGGATTGTGGACCCGGGTGAGTGCGGCTGCCTGCCCCTTGTATGTGCACACATGTGCTTCTGCTTGTGTGTGCGTGAGCTTTGCTCCCTCTCCTTCACTGGGTCCCCTGGGGGATGGGGCAGAGAATTTCAACATCTGTAAGGAATCTGGGCCCATTGCCAAGGGGTGAGTCACCCATTGCTGCTGTGATGCTGAAGACAGTGATGGTCTTTCTGACCAGACCTGGGGGAGGGAGAGTCCGGTGGGGTCACTGGGACCGGGCCCCTGGGCCCCAGGATTTCTTCTTCCAGCCAGTCTAGCCAGGAAGTGCAAGGCCAGCTTCTAGGAGCTATCTGCACTGTCTTCTCCCACCTATCCCTCTGCATTGATGAGAAGGCCTTTTTGATTCTGGCCTCTTTCCTGTTGTAGCACCTCCCCCAACACTTCTGCTCAGTCAACCCCAGGGAGAGGGAGGCCATGGCTGCCCACCTGCTCTTTCAGGGCTTTGGAAACCTGAATTATGCTATCTCCTTCTCTGGGAGCCCTTACCCATTAATATGCCCTTCCTGGAGCTCCAAGGCCCTGGTGGTACCCTTAAGCTTGTGGTGCCCTCAGACCCTCAGTCTCTTCTCACTGTTTCACAAGGTGGTTATTCAGGTAAATATTCATTCTGTTGGCTCATACTTGTGTCTGGCCTGCTTGTCTGATTTGGACGTAGGAAGTTCCCATTGCTGAGAGCACATGTGCCAGCTGCACATGTCATCCCTTGTGGCATGGGCACCTACAACTCCCACAGGTACAGACATGTACATATAATTGCACATAACACACAGTGTGCATGATTCTGACGTTTCCTTACCCCTGAAGAGCTCCTCTGTCCCCTACCTGGGTGTGCGTCATGGAGGGGCACATGTATAAACACACAGCCCCCCACTCCATCTGTGCTCGAGAGCCACCTAGAGTTTCGTGTATTCCCTCCCTTGCCGGCCTAGCTCCTGACTTGGGAGTGTTGGGAGATTTGGGTTCCTGGAGTTCTGGGCCTGCTCTGTTGTTGGCTCACTTAGTGAGCTTGGCCTGGGCCTCAGTCTCTGGGCCTCAGTCTTCCCAACCGTTTGCTGGGTTGCTGGGCCTCCAGGCTCCCTGGGGAGCCAGGGTCAGAAGGCAGGTGGTGAAGGCAGGATCTAACTGATGGTCCAGAGTGAGGACTATAAACTTGCTCCCTCCCAGGTTCCCCAAGCGTCCAGCCATGCAGCAACCTTGGCCTGAGCGCACCTAATGCCCCCCTGCCCCTTCTCTTCCAGGTGCACATTGCCCACCTTCACAGCAGGAAGGACTCAAATTGGAACACAGTAGTAGCCTGCCAGCCAATGTGACTGGTGAGCGCCCATCCATCTCATCCCGCCGTCCCCACGACCTTCCTCTGGGAGTGATCTGTACCCCGCTCCGCCTGCTCAGCTGAGCTCTTCACCTGATGTCTCCCCCAAAGGCTTCAACCTCATCCGCCGACTCAGCCTCATGAAGATGTCTGCCATCAAGAAGATCCGCAACCCCAAGGGGCCTCTCATCCTGCGCCTGGGGGCAGCCTCCGTGACCCAGCCTACGCGGTAAAGGCATCCATGCGACCACTGAGAATCAACACTGACCTCAGCCACACTCCTCAGCAACTCTGGATGTGGGGCTTAAACCCAGGGGCCTCTCTGTGGGTCATTTCATCCCACCCCTTGCCAGGAGTCAACCTGGTCTCCACCCCTGGGCTTGCGGGGTGTGCTGAGAGGCGGTACCTGGCAGACCTACCTTCTGTCTTTCCCCTGTCTCTGGCCAGCAGTGGGTGGGAACATGTCTGCATCCTATGGGCACTGTGAGAACACAGGATGTGGGCGGGAACCTGGCAAGAGTCATGTGCGTGTGTGTGTGTGTGCGTGTGCACATGCATGTGAGTGTGTGCACCATGTGTGTGAAGTCCAAACTCCCACAAGCCCCTGGGTGGTCTGGCCCCTGCTTGCCTCTTCAACCTCAGCTCTCAAAAGGCTCTTTTTTATCTCTTGCTGCTCTAGTCATGCTGAACCCTTTCCATCTTTTTTTCAGCATCTCTCCTTCCACCCTAGGCTCAGTTATTCACCCAGAGTATTCTGGGTTCATTGGAAGTACTTATTCAAATTGCAATGCAATAGCGAAATAGTCATTCTGGGGATTCTTTGCTCATGGCTTCCCTGCCCCCATCAGACTTGAAGGCTCCATGAAGGCAAGCACTGCCTCTGTATTTTCACAACTGTGTACTTTTTTTTGAGACCAAGTCTTGCTCTGTTGCCCAGGCTGGAGTGCAGTGGCATGATCTTGGCTCACCATAACCTCCACCTCCTGGGTTCAAGCGATTCTCCTGCCTCAGCCTCCCAAGTAACTGGGATTACAGGAGCCTGCCACTACACCTGGCTAATTTTTGTATTTTTAGTAGAGATGGGGTTTCACCATGTTGCCCAGGCTGGTCTCCAACTCCTGGCCTCAAGTGATCCGCCCACCTCGGCCTCCCACAGTGCTGGGATTACAGGTGTGAGCCACCGTGCCCGGCCTTCACCACTGTTATTCCCAGCAGCCAGACCCACACCTAGCTCACGGAAGGCACTCAGTAAAGGTGTGGAGAGTGAATGAATATATATGATGGAAGGTGTGTGCCTGTGGATGTCTTGGGTAGGCTCAGCAGTCCTGAGGGCCCAGGGTGGGCAGCAGTTGGGTCCTCACTGGAGCCTCGGGGCACCCTCCCTGCTCCATCTCCAGACGAGTATTCCCTCGGGGCCTCCCGGAGGAGTTTGCCCTGGTGCTGACACTACTGCTGAAGAAACACACCCACCAGAAGACGTGGTATCTGTTTCAAGTGACCGATGCAGATGGGTATCCACAGGTGAACTTCCCCCGTGCCCTGATTGCTTCTTAGGGCATTGGGTAGTACCAGGCCAGCCCAACTTTCATCCCGGCTTGTGATTTCTGGGATCTCCCTGCTTCATCCTGTGCCTACCCTCAAACCTGCCCCCAGCCCACCAATACCTGCCTCATTCTTTCAGGATGTATAGCTCCTTGACCCCAGCCAGCTTTCTTCTCTTCCTGGGCCTCAGTTTCCCCTCCTGTGAAATGAGTTCGAGGTCCCTGAATGTGCCTGTGCTGACTCTGGAGCTCTGAATCTCTGTCCTTTCCCCTTCCAAATTCTACCCAGATTTCCCTGGAAGTCAACAACCAAGAGCGGAGCCTGGAGCTCAGGGCCCAGGGCCAGGATGGCGACTTTGTGTCCTGCATCTTCCCAGTGCCCCAGCTCTTCGACCTGCGTTGGCACAAGCTGATGCTGAGTGTGGCTGGACGTGTGGCCTCTGTGCATGTGGACTGCAGCTCAGCCTCCTCCCAGCCTCTGGGGCCCCGGCGACCCCTGAGGCCTGTGGGCCATGTATTTCTAGGCTTGGACGCTGAGCAGGGCAAGCCTGTCTCGGTAAGTGCTAGGTCAGGCCCTGACCTCTGTTCCTGCCTTCTGGGAACCTGAGTGAGCTTCCTGGAATCTGTATCGGAGCAAGTCCTTCTGCTTAGAATCTTCCCCTGCTTTCCTGTTGCCCTCCAAATGCAGCGTAAACATATTCACCCGGCATTCAAGGTCCTTCATGATCTGGTCCTTATAAGTGTCTGCAGCATTGTCTTCCTTTACCTCTCTCCATGCAGCTGTGCTCTGATCAATTCCATCCTAGCCAACCAGCTCACCGAGTACTTTCACACTGCCGTGCCTTTGCCTACACTGTTACCTCCACCTGGAATGCCTTTCCTTGCATACTCATCTGCTGAGTAGCTACCAGTCCTTCAAAGCCCAGCATGAATGGAACCTCCTCCTCTTTTGTTCCTCTGGGCCTCCTCTCCCTCGCTCCTGTGCGCGCAGTTTTGTTCTGCCTTTGGTGACAGCTCTATTTTTGATGTCTCCCAGGCCAGCCTGGAAACACCCTGAGGTCACATCCTGGGGCGGAGACATCTCTGTGCCTCCTGGGGGGCCAGGACACAGAGCTATTTGATAAAATGAAGTGAAATTGATGTACGTGTCCCCTGCAGTTTGACCTTCAGCAGGTGCACATCTACTGTGACCCGGAGCTCGTGCTGGAGGAGGGCTGCTGTGAGATTTTACCAGCAGGGGTGAGTGGCCAGGCCCTTGGACTGCCCAGGGACACACTGTGCTGGAGATGAGGGTCTGGAAGGTGATGCCTGGAGGTCTTAGGAGGAGTTTGCTCCTGTACTGACCCTAGCCCTGCTCTTCCACTGAACAGTGCCCCCCAGAGACCTCCAAGGCCCGCCGGGATACCCAGAGCAATGAGCTCATTGAGATCAATCCACAGTCTGAAGGCAAGGTCTACACCCACTGCTTCTGCCTGGAGGAACCTCAAAACAGCCAGGTGGGTGGGCAGGACAGGAAGATGCCAGCACAGGCAGGCATACGTGAGATACCCCTCCCCTGAGCTGACTGACGTCTGCCACTAGGGTCAGTTGGCCATGGGCCCATGGCAGGAGGGGCACTGGAAGCCCTCCCTATTTGTACACCACCCCTATATGATTCAAGGAGGCAGAGACGGCCCACTGGCCACCACTGGGTGGCCCTGTGCCCACCTACCTATGGGTGTTGAGAGTGGTACCATCTACCTCTGGCACTGCCTAGACCCTCATGGATGCCATCCAGACTCTTCTGATGAGGGCAGGACTAAGCTTGTCCCTCAAAGGCAGCTTCTCCAGGACAGAGGTACCTGGGATCAGAGGTCAGGTCACACTGCTTCCCCGCAGGGATGGCTCAATCTCCTGGGCCCAGGGCCAGCCAGTGCCAGACTGGTTTTACACCCAGCACCATGGCCAGCTGCCCTGCCCATTCTCAGGTTCTTTAGAGGTGGCACGGAAACCTGGTTCCTCCCTTAGCCCCACCCCCTGGCTGGCAGTCTCCCTGCCCGCCTGGGCGTCCTGCCCAGCCTTGGGCTGCAGGAACACAGGATCCCATTGATGCATGGTCCTGTTTGCTCTGACATCACATGGGTGGGTGGGGGAGAAGGAGGGGGACCTGTTGGGGCAGCCACAGGGGCCTGAGCGGGCCCTCGATGCCCCAGGAGGTGCCAGATGCCAGGCTGAGGGCATACCTGGGGTCCATGCCCCCTGCCTGGGTACCCCTTTCCAGCATGGGCCCCAGAACTTCCCCCTCCTCAAGGATTTCTCTTCGCTCTGTCTGCCCAGGTGGATGCCCAGCTAACGGGAAGAATCAACCAGAAGGCAGAAAGGGGAGCAAAGGTAGAGGTGGGGTGTGGAGGACCCCACATGCCATCAGTCTGCCCTCTGTGCCCCTGTAAACCCCAGGGATAAGGTGCTCCACTCCCACTCTCCTCCCGCCTTTCCCACCTCCTGGACAGAGCTTAGGACATGTAGGTGCCAGCTCTGATCAAGAAGGACGGATGGGGGTGAGACAGATGCAGTGCCTGGCACTCTCTAGAGTGCCCACTCCTGTTGGTTTGGGGGTAGGGGTGTTGGAAACAGTGCTCGGCCCCCTGAGCTCCCTGCCCATTCCCATGCCCCCCACCCTTCCCTCAGGTCCATCGGGAGACAGCAGCCGATGAGGTAAGCCTCCCAAGGGACTGGCAGCAGGGGAGGTGCCAGTGTGAACCCTTTGGACCAGGCTTTGGGCACGGAGCCTCAGCATAGGGGTGCTGGCTGACTACACAGCTCCTGGCATTCCTTGGGGGCCTGATGCTGGGCCCTGTCTGCCCACTGCCTCTCCTTGGGTTGGGGGGTAGGTAGCCCTGGAGGACACTCCTGCTGAGTTGGCAGCAAAGGGCCACAGGCATCATGGGGAGAGCCCAGCCTTCAGTCACGGTGCCCTTGGATTCTGGGCCATACTCTGCCCCAGCATGCTGTGTGACCTAGAGTGTATTGCTATTCCTCTCTGGGCTTCAGTTTCCCCTTCTGAAAAACGACTGTGGGGCTGGGTGGGTGGGAAATGAGGGGTGAGGCTTGTTTTATAGGATTCCTATTTTCAGGCTCCCCTCAGATTCCACTCAAGACATGTGTGATGTTCTGTGGGCCTGATGGTGATGGAGGTGGGGAGGGCTCACCCCAGGGGCTCAGAATTGACCTCTTGGCCTGCTTTTCCCTTTCAGTGTCCACCCTGTGTCCATGGTGCCCAGGACAGCAATGTGAGTGAATGGAGGGTGTGCAGGGTGGAGCGGGCAAGAGCCGGGAATGGACGTTGCCTAGAGCTGGCTTGGCAGCCTCCTGGGTGAGGACAAGGGGGTCTTTGTACACTTTCATTCTCACTCCCTGCCCATCTCCCAGAGCCGGACTTGACCCCCACTGCCATCCCCACCAAGCCAGGGCTGTGTAGAAGAAAGCCAGTGACCTGCCTTGTCATCTGCAGTGTGTTCGGGTTCAGGGCCTGGGCAGGGGGTGGTGGCCGGCAGGACTGGGGTGGTGGCTGGCAGGACCAGGGCCTTGGTTGCTGATTCCAGCTTTGCACTCCCCACAAGGTCTCCCCCTGCTCTGGTGGAGGCTTCCTGCGTTCTCCTAGAGGCCTAGAGAAGGGGAAGAGCTGGCTCAGCACGCGGCAAGGGCTCCCACAGCATTGGTTCGGGGCCTGCTGTCCCTTTCTAGCTGGCCCTGGTCCAGCCTTCCTCTGGGGGTCCAGAAGGGCAAGGAAAGGGGCTCAGTGTGAGGCCACCTGGCACCCAACTGTGCCTCTTCCATAGGCAGCAAGAGTCACCATTTTTCTGTGGTCTAACGTTCTGAGTTGACCTCCCACATTGGTCCACCAAGGGCACAACCCTGGCTCCCCTCAGCTCCAAGGCCCCCTGACTTTGAGGGATATCAGGAGTACCTCCTCTGCTCCCCACCCCCTCTTTCAATCCAGTCCCCCACCAAATCTGGTAAGGCTGATGGTCCCCAGATGTGCAGGGGTTACCATGGAAACCAAGCAGCCATGTTATCCCAGCAACTGGGAGGCAGAGCTAACCAAAGCCAGGCAGGTTAGAGGAGGTAGGTTAGACTCTCTGCAAATGTTACAGGCTGAGGAAATGGAGTCCGCTCGCTAGTTTGCCTGGGAGGCAGAGCAGGGGCTGGGATACAGGCTGCTGGTCCTGCTATCATGCTGTGTGACCCTGTCTAAATTGCTTGACTTCTCTGGGCCCCTGGTTTTCTCTCTCTACCGGAAGTGTGATGCCCTCTCCTCTGTCCCTTCAGGTGACACTTGCTCCCTCTGGCCCCAAGGTGAGTCCTAATGGAGAACAGGACATTCCTGTCCTCTTTGGCAACCCCAGCCATTCCCACAGCATGTGACCCTGTGGCTGTGTGTTTATATCAGGGCCACCTAAGCCTGTATGTGTGTAGGGTGATTAGGTGTATGCGTGGTAGAGAAAGCAGGGAGTTGTGTGTGTACAAAGATGCTAAGAGCTGCCCTTTTCTGAGACCCTTCTGTGCCCCAGGCCCTGGGCCAGAGCTGTGCACATTTGTTACCCTTCTGAACCCTCTCAATACTCAGCCTGCAGCGTGGGTGCTATCATTTTACTTCAGGGGAAACTGAGGCCCAGCTGTGCCCACACATGTCTGACTAGGTGTGTTAGAATGATTGTGTATGGGTGTGGCTACATACATCTTTGGGACACATGTTTGCATATGTGTGGCACACAAAGGCTGGAGTTGAACCCATATACCTGTGGGCCTAACGAGGCCGCAGAGCTTGTGAGTGATGGGGAGGGAAGCTATGCAACTGTGAATTAGGCTTGTATGTGCTGGTCAATACCGTTTTATTGATGAAGAAACTGAGGCTCAGAAAGGTGACATGACCTGCTCTGAGTGACATGCTAGCAAGTACAGGGTTTGAAGTCCGGCAGCCTGACACTCAGCCAGCGTGGGTTTCTGCCACCGTGCGTGTGTGTATCCATACGCCTCCAGCTGTGCTGTGTGTGAGCTGATGTGCTTGGGTACGGGTGTGGGGGATGGGATACCCCCCTTGAGACTGTAGATTTGCCATATATAGTCTCTTGGGGTAGGAGAGCATGTGGATGAATGGGCGTGGAATCCACATGCTTGTGTGTGGTGGGGGGAGGGGAGGGGCAGGACACTGCTCACATGTGTGCATATTTTCGTACCCATGTGTGGGGGATGGGTGGAGGGGGACGGGGTGGGGAGAGCTTCCTCGAGGCTCCCATGTGCCCCCTCTGGTCCTAGCTTCCATTCTGGTTTCACTCTCAGGGAGGGAAAGGTGAGCGGGGCCTGCCTGGTCCACCAGGCTCCAAGGGAGAGAAGGGAGCACGGGTAAGTGTCTCAGCCCTGCCCGTGGCAGGACCTTTGCCAGCTGTGCCCTGGGGTGAGGTGGGATGTGAGCCATCATCTCATCATCCCAGCAGAAAGCCTGCAGCCTGGCCCAGATCAGGGGAGTGGGGTGAGGGCCAGGGTCTTTCTAGGGGTTCAGGTGTGGAAGCCCCTCTTTTCTAGGGATACTTAGGACTATGGGGTTCCCAGGCCGATCCTCCTCACAACACGTCTAGGGGACTTCCCCAGAGTTCCCCTTGTTGCCTACCCTCAGGGCAATGACTGTGTTCGAATCTCCCCGGATGCCCCACTTCAGGTAAGACTTGGAGGTGATGCCTGCTTCAGGGCCAATATGGGGCCAGCCCCTGGGGAGGGGCTGTGGGCTTGGCAGCCCATCAGGTGACCCTCTGCCCCCGCTCAACACCATGTTCCCCTGTTCAGTGTGCAGAAGGTCCAAAGGGAGAGAAGGGGCAGTCAGGAGCTCTGGTGAGTGTGGGATCAGGGATAGGGCAGGGGTGCTGGGTCCAGGGTCCAGCCTTACCCTCCCTTCCTTCCCTCCCTTCTTTTGTCTCCCCTCCTCATCTCAGGGACCCTCAGGACTCCCAGGCTCAACAGGCGAGAAGGTAACAAGCCTGGATTTGGAGGGGCGGGTTCTAGGGAGGTCTGCAGGCTCTACAGCCATGAGCAAGGAGGAATTGGGGTTCTCTCTTTTTTTTTTTTTTTTTGGAGACAGAGTCTCGCTCTGTCGCCCAGGCTGGAGTGCAGTGGCCGGATCTCGGCTCACTGCAAGCTCCACCTCCCGGGTTTACGCCATTCTCCTGCCTCAGCCTCCCGAGTAGCTGGGACTACAGGCGCCCGCCACCTCGCCCGGCTAAGTTTTCGTATTTTTCAGTAGAGACGGGGTTTCACCGTGTCAGCCAGGATGGTCTCGATCTCCCGACCTCGTGATCCGCCCGTCTCGGCCTCCCAAAGTGCTGGGATTACAGGCTTGAGCCACCGCGCCCAGCCGGAATTGGGGTTCTCTTAGGAGAGGATGTCAGTGGGCACAGAGCTGGCAGGACCCTCCTCCCCCGCCCTAGTCATCCTGCCTTGTCCAAATACCCAACCGACCTGGAGGGAAATGCCACAGATTCCCCCAGTGAGTGGCCTGGCTGGTCTGGAAGTTCTTCCTGTTGTCTACCCTCCCGTGGTGATTGAAGCCATTCACTCTCAGGGGAGACAGAGACCAGGGGTCTAGAAGGCAGTTGTCCCTCCCCCAGATGGAGCTGCCCAGCTGTCCCAGGCCTTTCCCTCATCCTGGTCACTGTGCTTCTTCCTTCCCCAGGGCCAGAAAGGCGAGAAGGGCGACGGAGGCCTCAAGGGTGTGCCGGGAAAGCCAGGCCGGGACGTAGGTGCCTGGGACCCCCTTCCCCACCACAACTCCCAGCATGGGGTCTGAGAATGCTGGGATTTAACCTTCGGAATCCAGCCTCCTCCCCTTGCTCACACAAGGTGGGGAGGGGCTGTGCCCCAGGAGGCACAAGCGGGGACAGAAAAGGACCTGAGCCCAGGCCTCCTTACTCCCAGCCTCAGAGCCCCGAACCTCTAACACCCTAAGGTTGACAATGTGCTGACCTCGGGGCACCAGGGTGGGCTCTGGTTTGGGGGAGGGGCGGGGAGGGTGAGACAGGTGGGCATTCACCTCTCCCAGTGGGTGCACTGAAACATAATACTCACTAAACACAGTACTACTAACACTCATAGCCCAAAAACTAACGACAACCTGATTCCGTAATCTCACATGATTAGCCTGCATGATAGCCAGGCCTCGGGGCTGTTTGTACACCCTCCCCCTTATCCCCCGACAGGGCCGGCCAGGAGAGATCTGTGTCATTGGGCCCAAAGGGCAGAAGGTGAGTTGTGGATGTTTGTGGGGTGGAGATGGGGTGGCAGGGCTGGGGTAGCAGGTCTCTGATGCCCACCTTATGTCTGTGCCAGGGAGACCCTGGCTTTGTTGGGCCTGAGGGGCTGGCAGGAGAGCCCGGACCCCCTGGCCTCCCTGGACCCCCTGGGATAGGACTGCCTGGGACCCCGGTGAGTACCTCCTTGCTTCTCCTGCTGCTGTGTTTTTCTCAGAGACCCCTCTCCCACTCTGGCCAGGGAAGGAAGCGGGGAAGATAAGGCTCTGTCCCAGGAGTCCTGGCTGGAGGAGAGGGTGAGGGTAGAAGATCTCGCTGTGGTGAGAGGTCCCTGGAAACTTCCACTTGACTCTGTTTCTGCCCTCAGGGGGATCCAGGTGGCCCACCAGGCCCTAAGGGAGACAAGGTAAGCATAGATGGGAGTGCAGTCACATGGGGAGCTCCATGCTTGACAGGAGGAGACAAGAGAAGGGGCCGGGGCAGCTTCCCACAGGGGAACCAAGTCCCAGGGAGGAGGCCGGGCCTTTGGAGGAGGAGGCTGGGCTCGGCTTGGCCAGGCCCCTTGGCGGGGAGTGTCCTGTCCCCATCCCGGTGCTCATTGAGGTTGAAACCTTAGCCTGTGTTCCAGGTATAGGGATGGGCAGGTCTAAGTGTTGTAAAGACCAAAGTGGACTTTGCTGGAGGGCCCAAGCTCCTTTTAGGGCCTTGTGCCTGGATGTGCAGAAAGCTCTGGAAATTTCTGTGTGTGATGCTGGGGTTTCCCTGGGGTCGCGTGGATCACCTCCTAACCTGTGCACAGTGAAGGGGCACACAGAGGCCTCATTTTCTCTCTTCCTTTGAAATGACGTGGGTTAGACATGGAGGGCAGGCAACAGGAACCGACCAAATGGGACAAATGGCGATGGGGAGATTTGGCAAAGAATGTTCTGCCATCACAGAGGGGCACGGGTGGGGAAAGGGGAATGCACCGAGATCGCATTGGCCAGGAGGCAACCCCCTTATCCTTTCTTCTGACCACAGGGCAGCTCTGGGATCCCAGGAAAGGAAGGCCCTGGTGGGAAACCTGTGAGTGACTTCAATCCAGTGGGGGAGGGTTGCTCTTCCAAGGCCTCTGGAGGGAGGGGCTAGGTCCTCCAGCCCTCAGTTGGCACACCAGCCCTCTGCCCTGGCACTGATGCCCATTGCCTCTTTTCTAACAGGGGAAACCAGGTGTGAAGGGAGAGAAGGTGAGTCCCAGGCCTGGCTGTCCAGATCGGGGTGGGAATGGGACCCCCCTCTCTGCAAACGACAGTGACCATCAAGGGCCCTAGGCCTAGGGGTGCTGGACCTTCCTCAGGGGACCCCCACCCTTTCTTCCTCTGATGTCCATGTGCAATGAGTACATAAAGAACCTGGCTTGGGGGTGAGCTGGGTTCAAACCCTGCCTCCACCACACACATGGTTATGAAAGGTCTGAGTCAATTAGCTTGTCTCTTAGCCCAAGTTTCCGTGTCTGTCAGTGGGACACAGTCATGTTTCAAGGCTTACAGCGAGGATGTAGATCTGTGCCGCCCTGGAATCTTGTGGTGAATGAATGAGTCAGTTGAACAGGAAGCCCCAGCGGCATTCCTGCTGTCCACTTTGATGTTGGGGGTGGGGCTCTGGCAGACCCAACGTCTAAGGCTGGTATGTGCAAGAGGCCCCTTGCCTTCCCCGGGGTCTCAGCCCCACCCTGTCCACTTATTGCCTTTCCGTTCTGCTAGGGTGACCCCTGTGAAGTGTGTCCAACACTGCCTGAAGGGTTCCAGAGCTTTGTCGGACTCCCTGGAAAGCCAGGGCCCAAAGGGGAGCCTGGTGATCCTGTATCAGCCAGGGTGAGTGCCCAGGGTGACCACTGAGGGACCTCCCCCAGCACACAAAGAAACCTGGGGGCATGATCATAGAGAGGAGTTGGGCAGAGGGACTGTGTACTTCTCGTGGCTACTGAGAGATTATGGGCAGAGAGTCTAGGCTCTTATGGTATTAAGGGGTCTGAACCACAGAGCTCAGGGCTGGGCTAGAGTGCCACCTCAGGTCTCCATGGCAACCTCCCAGGGCTTTCCAGGAGACTCTAGGATGCCTTTTGGGCAAGCTGGGAGGGAGCCCACCCTTATTGTGAGTGAGGCTGTGTCCTAGGATTGGGTGTGTTTTGGGGGTGGAGGAAAGGAGTGAGCAGGACTGGGTGAGCCCCCTCTCTCACAGACCTCTACTTTCAGGACCACCCGAAAACTGTCGGACAAAAAGGCGACAGGGTACGTGCGGGAACTTTCCACTGGGGTAACTTAACCTGGCCTCATTCCCTCCCCCGCCATGCTCCTGCTTGTTATGTGGGTTGATGAACCCTGCCTCTGGGGTGCTGGCCTTGAACCCCATGGGACCCCTAGGTGTTTGGATGGTTTGCGTGTGTGACATTGCTGTCCTCGCATATTGCCAGGGAGTTTGGGGGTGCCCCATCGTGCCCTGTCTCAGCCCACAAACCTTTTTTTTCCCTGCAGGGAGACCCTGGCATCCAAGGCATCAAAGGAGAGAAGGTGAGGGAACCCCGCTCTCCTGGTTGCCCTCCTCTGCCTACCTGGGAGTATTTCTGATCCTTCCTCTTCTTTACACAGGGGGAGTCCTGCTTGTCCTGCAGCTCGGTTGTAGGGGCCCAGCATCTTGCATCCTCCACAGGGGCCAGTGGAGATGTGGGCTCCCCTGGCTTTGGTCTGCCTGGCCTTCCGGTGAGTGACTACTTTCTCCCAGTCCAGCCCAGTTCAGCCCATCCTTGCCATACTGGTGATCTCCTTGGCTTTTCACATCCCAAGTCTCAGGGCAGGGATCAGGAGGGAGCGGAAGAGGCAGGTGTCCCAGGCCTGTCTCCTCGTCCCTCCCTCCGTCCCTGTGCTGCCCCAGGCTCCTTGCCCTGGAACTTCCTCTTAGCACCTCTGGCTTCAGTTGTCTAACAGAAGAAACTGTCCAGCTACCTGAAGGACACAATTCCTATCTTATGTTTCTCTTTCCGGTTGGACACTGGGACCCAGGGAGCCTTGGAGAGGTGGGAGTGGGGAGATGTTGAGACTCTGTCTTGGTTGTTTTTCAGGGGAAAGCTGGGTTGCCAGGGCTGAAAGGAGAGAAGGTGAGACCTGGGTTAGATGTCAGGGACACTGGGGTTTCTAGGCAGGGAGGCAGGGGAGGAGCGGCGCGGGCGGGGAATAAGGGTAATATAAACAAGAGATTCAGACGGTAAATTCACAGTAAAATTAATTTACTAGTGCTTTGCAGACTGGAGTCAAAGAATGTATTTCTGAGAGCCCTCATGTTCTGTAAGAGAATTCCTTAGTGTAGGTGTGATGATATTCTAAAACTATTAAGCACATTCAAGATTACTTTATAATATTGACAATATGTAACACTTCTTTATTGCTTATGATGTGCCGGGCACTATTCCAAATCTTGTAAGTGTGTTCACTTGTTTTGTCCTCCCAGTTTTTATGGGGTAGGTGCTCCCTTATTCCCGTTTCACAGATGAGGAAACGGAGGCACAGAAAGGCCAAGTAAATTGCCCAAAGTTACACAGGTGATTGGATGCAGAGCTGGGATTGAGCCCAGGAAGCCTAGCTCCAGAGACTGTAATCTTCATTATGCCGCTGGGTCAATTTCAGTGCCTGTGTTAACGTATCTATTTATGATTGCATTGGAGACAAACGGCAGGCTTGAACTTCTAATGCAGTGTTACCCAAATGAGGGGTTCTGTGGGTGTACGAATGTTCAAGTGTGAGAAACACTGAAGTATGTGTGCAGACTCAACCCTAACAGGGGAAGCCCACGTGTCACATCGCATGTGGGGCCTTTGCACCCCCACCCCACCTGCCGCCTCTTCCCAGCTTCTCCATCTCAGTCATCAGCTCACAGCCAGCCCCCCAAAGCCCAGCCTTACGGTCGTCCTCAGGTCCTCCACTCCTGACACTGTCCCCTCCTGCCTCTAGCCCCCCAGCGAGCCCTGACAGTTCTGCCCATGAGGGTTCTCTCACTCCTCCACTTCTCTCCATGCCCACCACTGCCATGGTAATCTGCGTTCCCATGGCCTCTCTCCTGCATGGTGGAACCTCCTCTGGCCTGCCCGTGGCCACTGCAGCCCTGCAGCAGTCCAGTTTTCATCTGGTAGTTTTTTTTTTGAGACGGAGTCTCACTCTGTTGCCCAGGCTGGAGTGCAGTGGCATGATCTCCGCTCACTGCAACCTTCGTCTCCCAGGTTCAAGCGATTCTCCTGCCTCAGCCTCCCGATTTGCTGGGATTACAGCCGTGCACCACCACACTCAGCTAATTTTTGTAGTTTTCGTAGAGACGGGGTTTTGCCATGTTGGCCAGGCTGGTCTCAAACTCCTGACCTCAAGTGATCTACCCTCCTTGGCCTCCCAAAGTGCTGGGATTACAGGTGTGAGCCATCGTGCCTGGCCTTCATCCAGTAGTTTAATGTGGCTTTGTAGAAGAATCAGTATTTCCCTCCTTACAGTCCCTCTGTGACTTACTTTCTACCATAGCTCTGCTGTGCCTCACAGGACCCCGGATGCCCCAGCCCCCATCCTTCCCACATTCATCCACTTCTTCCCCTTCTCTTCTGGTTTACCGTGCTTCAGCCATGTGAACCTTCTTTCCATTATGGAATATGTCTGGACTACTCCCACCTGTCAGATTTTGTACTTGTGGTTCCCACTAGAAACATCTAGAATGTTTTTCCTTTCTACCCTCGCCCTATTCTTTCATTGGATGACCTTATTCTCATTCTTCTGGTAATAATCAGGGTTAACACCTCTCTGACCACCTCCACTTACTCTGTCTCATCACCTTGTTGATTTCCTTCATAGTACTCACCATTGTTTAAAATGATTTAGAAAGTTCTGCATGTGCAAGCTCAACAGGCATTACTGTTTGTGCTGCTCACTGCTGTCTACCCACTGCCTCAGCCCAGTGCTCCGTGTATAAAGGTGTCCAATGAAAGGCTGTTGGAAAAAGGCATTCATGATTTTTGTGTTCTGAGCCAGGGCTGAGGGTGGACTGGATTCCATGAGGTGAGGCTGGGAGCAGAAATAGGGCTTCTAGCCCCTGGCTGGTCACAGACTCCCTTGGGGACCTTGGAGAAAGCCCTCTTCCTCTCTGGACTTGAGAGGGTAGTCTGGACATCCAGAGGGGCTGCTTTTATAGTTTTGGGTTTGCAATTGCTCTGGCACCTAGACTGCATCCCCTCTTCAATCATGGCTTTTGTGCTTTCTCTCAGGGTAACTTCGGGGAGGCAGGGCCAGCTGGCAGTCCAGTAAGTATGTTTGGGATGGCAACAGCTTGGGAGAGGACAAGGTGGGAGGGGCTGACAGGCATGGCCTCGGCAGCTGCTGGGCATTACCTGGAGCGTCTTAACATGCAGGGGCCACCAGGACCAGTGGGACCAGTAGGCATCAAAGGGGCTAAGGTGAGTCTGGGGACATTCTCTGTGCTGCAGCCTGGGTGAGCTTCCTAGACAGACACTCGTCTTGCTCGACTTCAAACCCTCTGGGGCTCCTTGCTGTCTGTTAGGCAGAGTCTGACTCCTTGGCAAGGCACGAGACCCCTGATCACTCAGCTCCACCTTTGTTTCTTTCCTGTTCTCCCTTCATCTTTCCTGAGATAACCCCTCACCCAGCAGAGGTGCAGTGTCAGACCCAGTGACATTCCCCAGCCCTAGATTCCAAACCTGGCTCAAGTGCACTAGGGCCTGGAGGACCCCCTAACCCAATGTCCTTGCCTGGCAGGGGGAGCCCTGTGAGCCGTGTCCAGCCCTGTCCAACCTTCAGGATGGGGATGTCCGTGTGGTGGCCTTGCCTGGCCCATCCGGAGAGAAGGGGGAACCTGGGCCTCCAGGCTTTGGCTTGCCAGGAAAACAGGTGAGGTGGGATATAGGCAGGGGCCTCTGGAGGGGGATGCAGGCAGAGCTTAGGACAGGGGAGGGGTCCTGCCTGGGTCTCTTGACTCCCTGGGCAGTTGGGGGTAGTGGGGAGGGTGTGGCGGGGTCAGAGCCTCTGTCTCCAGAAGGAGCTGCCCTCACAGGTCTCTGCCCTTTATCCTGGGACAGAGTATGGCAGAGTGGGCAGAAAGAGCGTCATCCTAGGACCAGAGAGACCTGGGTTCCAATCTTAGCTTTGCCTCTTACTAAGTCTTTGACTTGAGCAAGTCACTTCTCTCCACCTCTGTTTCTTACACAGAGTAAAGCCTAGTAATGACGTGTGTGAAGTGCTTAGCAGCACACCATGGGCACTGGGGAAATGGCAGTTATCACTGTGGTTATTATCACTGTTACTGCTTTCATAGTAACGGCCAGCACTGCCACAGTGGACACTATGTGCCAGGCACTGCTGCACACGACATATTCGCTTGTCTAACCTCACAGGATCCCTATAGGGCAGAAGCCTATACTATTTTTATCATCCCCATTTGACAGCTGAAGAAACTGAGGTACAGAGATAGATGAGCTAATTTGCCCATGTCACCCAGGCAAGGAGTCTGGCACAAATCTCTCCTCTGACCCTGGGCAATAATACTTCACTGGCACGAAAGCAGAGATTTGGTTTTGTTTATTTACTGTTGTATGCCCCGAACTGATGTGGTGCCAGGCACTTCAGGGTGGCTGGTATGAGTGAGCGGGTGCTGGAAATTCTTTCTCCTCAGGGCAAGGCTGGAGAGCGTGGACTGAAGGGGCAGAAGGTGAGAGGGCCTCTGTGGGCATGGAAGTGGGCACAGCATCCTCTCAGATCCCCTCCTTGCCTCCTTTTCCTCCTTCCCTAGCCCTGAACCCTCAGCTGCAGCAAAGGAACGTGAGTGCCTGCTGGTCCCAGGGGCAACTTGCCCCCGGCTGGGCCGGCCTTGCCTTCCTTGAACTCCGCTCCTTACAGGGTGATGCTGGGAATCCCGGAGACCCTGGAACGCCGGGAACCACAGGGCGGCCAGGACTGTCAGGAGAGCCTGGAGTTCGGGGCCCTGCGGGGCCAAAAGGAGAAAAGGTTAGTCAGGTGGGGTGGTTGGAGTCAGGGGAGTTTGCTGCATAAAAAAATCAGGTGGCGCACCAGTGAGGGAAGGACTGCAGGGCCAGCTGGGGCCTTAACGGCTGTCAGAGTCACTGAGTGGAGGCTCCTCGGGGCTTCTCCTCTGCTAGGAGTGTCAGGGGCCTGTTTTGATTTCCCAGGCTGAGGTGGGAGCATTCAAGGGGCAGAGTGTTCAGAGGGGTGCAGGGTATCCTGGCCTGGGTGCCAGCGCTGGCTCATGGGCTCCAGGCTGTACCCATCTTTGACCAGGGTGATGGCTGCACTGCCTGCCCCAGCCTGCAGGGGACAGTGACAGATGTGGCAGGACGGCCTGGGCAGCCCGGCCCCAAAGGAGAACCGGGTCCCGAAGGCATGGGCCGACCTGGTAAACCCGTGAGTTGCCTGCCCTCTGGCCCTTCCCTGCCTGGGCTTTGCCTCCTCTCCCTCCTGTCCCCCTTTCCCTGCAGGGACTCCATGGGCCACCTTGTGCCTTTTAGGGCCAACCCGGTCTACCAGGAGTACAAGGACCCCCAGGTCTGAAGGGCATGCAGGTATGTGTGAGTCTTGGGGCCCTGGGCTGCAGCTACGTGAGGGCAAGGGGTGGGATAGACCGATCCATGGGGGCAGTGGGCCTGGAGTGGGAAATGGAGGCAGGGTGCAGGGCAGGGAGAAGCTGGGGGAGAAGGGGCTGGGGAGAAGGGTGAAGGGTGACTGGGGAACCTCGAGCCAGGGACTGTCCTTCTGCCTCTTCAGGGAGAGCCAGGGCCTCCAGGAAGGGAAGTCCAGGGACCCCAGGTGAGTCTCTAGCCTTGCCTTTGCCTGTCCCCTCAACACTTCTATTAGCCAACTACCTAATTCCATCCACTCCCAAACTGCAGGGCTCTGCCTGCCCCCAGATGCACAGGACTTAGTTCTGGGACCAGGAGTCAGGCCATAACCCTGGCCTGCTGTTGCTTCTGTCAGGGACTTGCCTTTGACCCCAGCCTCTCTGACCCTCAGGGTCTCCTTGGGGAGCTCTTCTGAATTTGGGCTGGTAGATGCCCCACCCAGACCAGGTCTGCCGGTGTGGCAGGGCCAGAGGAACAGGTTGGCTGTGGCTGCTGTGTGCTAGTCTGCCCTTTCTGACTTGCAGGGGGAGCCTGGAGCCCCGGGTTTGCCTGGCATTCAGGTACGTCTGCCTGAGTCCTGGAGGAGGATAGCAGGCGAGAGGGCCATTCTAGGATATGGGTTAACTAACAGTGCTTCCATCTGCAGGGACTTCCGGGACCTCGGGGACCACCTGGCCCCACTGGAGAGAAGGGTGCCCAGGTGAGCCTCTGCCTCCATGGGCATTGGGCCTGCAGTATTCCAGAGTGTCCCAGCAGCAGGCACAGGGGACACAGGGGCCAAGTGCTGCCTATCAGAGGGCTGCCTAAGACCTGTCGGGATGTGTCTTACCTGCTGGGTTGTAGCTGGCTTCCAATTCTGCCCCTGCAACCTTTGTACCCTCTCTTACACAGGGATCTCCAGGGGTGAAAGGAGCCACCGGACCCATGGGACCTCCTGGGGCCAGTGTCTCTGGGCCTCCGGTAAGTCTTCTCTGTGCTCCATTCTGGTGGTGTTGCTGGAACCAAGGATGTTTCTGCTGGGAAGAGGGCATGGAGCTGACCCTGCCCATCCCAGCAGCACAGGGCATGGGAGGAGAGAGGCCTCAGCCCAGCCTCAGACAAGGAAGACCTCACTCCTTTAAGGGAATGCTTGAATAATACAATAATGTTCACCACCATTTTTTGAGCAGTGATCATGCTGAGGTCCTGTGCTAAGCTCTAAACACAGAAATTCATGTCATCCTCACATCAGCCCTGTAAGGGAACTCACTTCATAGATCAGGAAATTGAAGGTCAGAGGGTGAGGAGGCAGAGCCACGGACTTCAACCTAGGCCTGTCTGACTCAAAGCCCATCCCTAGTCATTAGGGACATGTGAACTGCCCAGTACAACTGTCTATGAGGATGGAAACGCTGTGTTCGGCACAACCACAGGTGGCTGTTGAGCGCACCTGAAATGCAGCTAGTGTGACTGAGGAACTCAGTTTTAAGTGACATTTAATTTTAATTAATTTAAATTTAAATAGCCCCATGTGGCTATGGACTACGGTATCAGACAGCACAGATCCAGACCAGCAACTACTTCCAGTGTAATTGGAAAGACCTTCCCTTTGTACTATTCCCCCAGTGGCTCCCATGTTTTAAAAGACGTGTCTATTGAACAAATTGCACGGATTAAGTAATCATAAGTGCATTTTCTCATTTTTAGTCATCAAAGACCTGTGTAGTCGTCAGCTTCTACTCCACATGAACCTGCTAGAATTTTACCAGATAATCTAATTGCAGCCTAAATCAAAGGCATGCTACCTTTCAGCCAGTCTGTTCCATGCCAGGTGGTGGGCAAATGCGTAATTTGTCTTGGGCTTTTGTTAATGTTAAAAATAGCCCAGTGAACTGTATCCTCTTCTATCTTTGCGGATCCCTGAAGAAATTCTAGTTCCAGTTTGGGATTCACTGATAGGAGAGTGCACCAACATCCAAAGCGGGCAGGGACTCGCCCAAGTCCACACAGCCAGTCTCTATTGCCCCACAGAGCTGGACAGCCAGGATTCCTGCCTGTCCCAGGGAGCCCCAGGGCAGAATGAGAGACGTGGGCCAGGTCCTCAGAGAGCTTCAAGTCCCAAGTGTGAAGGTGGAGGAGCCCACATGAAGGAGCTATGGGAACGCCCTGTGTGGCCAGGCTGGCCTCTCCTGGCCTGAGCAGACTCCATGCTGTTGTCCAAGCTGCTTGCCTTTCCAGGAGAATGTTCCAGACCTCTCCTCATGCTGAATTCCATCCAGCAGGCTTCCCGTCCTCAGCCGCACACTTGCTAGGGGTGTGACCTTAGGCAAGTGACAGCTTCTCAAAGTCTTCAGTTTTTTGTGGATAAAAAAGGGGCTGAAATCCCCTTCTCCCAGTTAGGTCAACAGACACAACTTTTGTGATAGGGAGAAAGTGTATCAAGCACTAAAGAGAGATAGGAGAGAGCAGAGACTTCAGGCTACACACGCCTGGCTGCAGCTGGCTGCTGGGTCTATCATGAAGTTTCTTTAAGGCTCAGTTTCCTCACCTGAAAACCAGAACAATACTGTCCTGCTGGACTGGGAGAGGGGATTCCATTCAATGTTCCCTGACGGGTACTTGGCCCGGTGGCTGGCACCCAGATGTGCTCAGGAAATGCCAGTCTTCTTCCTTGTTCGGCACCTCAGTCTGCTCCTCTGGAACGTGGGCCCTGGGCCCTGGGTGCCAGAGGAGCCTGGCGCTGCTTCTGTTTGTCCTACAGCCCCTTTCTGCAGCAGGCCAGATGGCTGGCCGCTGCCCAGTCTCACCCTCTGACTCTGGGCTCTCTCCCTTCAGGGCCATGATGGGCAGCAAGGACAGACGGGACCCAGAGGGACACCAGTGAGTACAGTGTCTTGGGACAGCAGGAAGCCATGGCTGGCCCTGCCTCGGCACTCATATCTGCTCACCTTTCTGTGTTTCTTCCCTGCAGGGTGAAAAGGGACCACGAGGAGAGAAGGTGAGTTCCAAGGGCCTGTGACCCATACGCTGGGGGGTTAGCAGCCCCTCCAGCCTTCCCACCACGAATCAGGGGAGCCTGTGCACATGAAGCTGCCTTGGACTGGAGGATGGGGGTGGAGGAGGCATCCTGGGCTCCTTCCTACCCCCAGCTCCCTGGTTTCAGGGGCTCCACATATCCCTAACTTCACCTGGTTGCTGGCCTGAGACTCAACCAGGATTATGGGAGACTGGAAAACTCCAAGGCCCCCTTAGGAGGGCAGCTGCATTTTCAAATGGGGGCTGAGTCAGAGGATGGAGCAGGAAGTGAGCTGGGAAGGACTAGTGGTGAGAGGGCAGAGAGGTGAGGGGCCCCTGAGAGAAGGGCATGGAAGCCAGGGGAGCGGGGCTGCAGTTGTACTGAAGATGAGATTACCTGCATGGCAGCAGACAAGGTTATAACTGATGACTGTAACAGCAGGACCATGGTTTGCTGAATAATCTCCATGCGACAGGACCCCTGTATACACGAGTCCATTTTGTCTTCCTGAGACTCCGTGCACCTGGAATGACTGTTCCCATTTTACAGGCGAGGAGGCTGAGGTGCAGAGAGGTTGAACAGGTTGCCCAAGGGCAACATCATAAGAGGCCGATCCTGGATTGAAACCCTGGCCTCTCCATCTCTAGAGCCCCATGCCTCTCGGATGTCCATTTCAAGAGGCCCTTTGTCTTCGTCCATGTCTCACAAAGGCTCTTGTCTTTTCAGGGTGAGCCAGGGGAGTGCTCCTGCCCCTCTCGAGGAGACCTCGTCTTCTCTGGCATGCCGGTAAGTGGCACTGTGAGAGCCTTCCCCCAGCCCGGGGGAGAGGAGCAGCTTCAGCCTCGTCTGGTGCCCAGGGTGCAAGGGCTCCGCAGGGCCGCACACCCCAGCCATCCGCCTCTCCACGCAGCCCCGCGCTTGGTGTAGACATTGCCTATAACCTCTCCCCTTCTTTTGCGACCCCCACTCCCACCCAGGGTGCTCCGGGACTTTGGATGGGCAGCTCCTGGCAGCCGGGCCCGCAGGTGTGTCGCTTGTCTCCTCTTGTCCGCCAGCACCCCACGGCTTGTCCACCCTAAACAGCTGCACTCAGCCATGGGGCAGAGCTCTTTGCTGCCTCTGACTCTTCCCTCTCTCCCTCAGGGTCCACCAGGTATTCCTGGACCACCAGGCCCCCCTGGAGTGCCCGGGCTGCAGGTAAAGGGGGAGAAGAGAAGGAGGAGTTTGGGTGGCAGAGCTCATGCAGTCAGGGTGGCTGCTCCAGGCTGGACCCCAAGGACGCTTCTCCCCCACCCCAAAAACACAGACATGCCATTTCTCATTCCTCTATTCAGCTGCCTACCAGGGTGGCAAGGAGGGCCCACTGAGCCTCTCGGCCAGGCTCTGCACTCCCAGCACGGTTTCAAGGAATGCCCTGTTGCATCAGCTGTCAGGAATCCACAATCTGGGTCAGATAAAAATCCCTTACCCTGGTACAGAGCCCGGCCCACTGTTTTGGAGCAGCATTCAACACTCATTCATGCAACACGTGTTTTTGCACATTTGCTATTTTTCCAGCACTGTTTTAAGTGCTGTGAATACAGTAGTGGCTAAAAATAAAAGCCCCTGCCCTCTTGGAGCTTATATTCAGTAGGAAAGACAGACAATAAGCAAGATAAATAAATAAAATATAGTGTGTTAGAAAGTGATATGTACGAAGGAGAAAGGTAAAGAAGGGAGTGAGGATAGAAAATGGGACGAGGGCAGGAGAAGTATTTGCAAAATGTACTGAAAAGAAGGTAATGTTTGAATCAAAACTGAAAGGAGATGAGGAGAGAAGCTGTGAGGGAGAAGCTTTGTGGCAGAGAAAGCAGCCAGTGCAAAGGCCCAGAGGTGGGAATGTGCCTGATGTGTTTGCAAGGAAGCCAGAGATAGTGAGGGGAGAGCATTAGGAGCCAAGATCTGTGTGACACTGTGAATAAAGGGTACATTCCAGAGCCAGGCAGCCTGAACTTGAATCCCGGCTCTGCCTTGTGCTAGCTGTGTGATGGTAGGCAAGTTCCTTAACCTCTCTGTGTCTCACTGCCCTCTTCTGCTAAGTGCACCTAACTCATAGGGCTTTTGTGAGTGTTAAACAAGTTAATGCATGTGAAGTGTATAGAATTGTGCCCATGACTATTATATATTATTTATATGACAAATGCTTAGAAGGCATTAGCTATCATTATTATGATGACGAGTACTATTACTATTTCACATCCATTATTTCATTCATTTGAGCCTTACATAAAAAGCCCCAACAGGAAGGCAGTGTTATTATTCCTAAGTCACAGCTGGACAAGCTGAGGCTCTGAGAGACGAAGTATCTTGTCTAAGGCCACCCAATTAGGAATTGACAATGCTGGACTGGGGCTTCCCCATGCAAGGCCCTTTTTGCCTTCTTCTGATGCCTTTCAGGACAGTTCCCAGTGGTTTGCATACCAAGCCATGTTTTCCAGAGGTTCTAGGTGGCATAGACACCACCGTCTGTGTGTCTGGCTCCCAGCTCCTAAGGGAGTGATTCTCACCTGAAGAAGCAGGGCAGCATCACAGGGAAGCTTTTTACAAGCTACTCCTCCTTGCCCCAATGATTTGATACATTTCGTATCTTCCCTCCCCGCTCCCGCTACCTTGGCACACCTCCCCTGCCACCGTGGGCTGGGAGTCTGCTCTAGTGAGCCACTGTTGCTGATGGGAGTCTCTGCCAGGATCCCAATTCTCTCTACCCCATTGGAAGTGCTGAACTAGAGCCCAGGCCACATATTTGCAGCCACACATTTGCCGAGTGTCTGGGGCTTCCTGCCACACTGCCAGGAAGCAGGATTCTGTCTGCAGAGGGCTTGCAGTTTCCTTGGGGAAGCATAAGAGTCATTTCAAAGTGACCCATTAATAAGTGAGAGCTGATGTAGCGTGAACCCTGCCAAGACATGCTGGGGAATGAGGCAGAAAAGAGTGACTGCTGAGTCTGGTCCCAGGCACCAGAGTCCTCGCCTAGTGCCAGCGCGTGAGACCAAGCCGAGGCTGCTGCTGACAGACACCTGCCCCATGCCAGGTGGGATCCAGAAGGGCCGAGCAGCTCCTTTATTGAAGTATAGACACAGGCTCAGGGATGTACAGCACTTACTCATCCAACGCCGTATAGTCCCAGTGCTTAGTTATCTCATTTCATCTCAATCCATTTCACAGAGGAGGAAGCTGAGGCACTGAGGTCAAGAAAGTTGCCTGAGGCAACTAGTAGGTCATTGAGCCTAGGTTTCAATTCTGGCTGCACTTCGCTTCCACAGTAGGACAGCAGGTAGAACATTTAGTTCTGGGAGGTTGGGTAAACAATTACAGAACATCAGGCCTGAACTAACACACTGGCCATGGAGAGGGGAGCAGAGGATGAATAATGATTTAGGGCATAATAATCAACATGTCTGGGCCGTCATGGTGGCTCATGCCTGTAATCCCAGCACTTTGGGAGGCCGAGGTCGGCAGATCATTTGAGGTCAGGAGTTCGAGACCAGCCTGGCCAACATGGCAAAACCCCATCTCTACTAAAAATACAAAAAGAATTAACCAGGTTTTGTGGCACATGCCTGTAATCCCAGCTACTCAGGAGGCTGAGGCAGGAGAATTACTTGAACCCAGGAAGCGGAGGTTTCGATGAGCTGAGATTGCACCACTGCACTCCAGCCTGGGAGACAGAGTGATACATCTCAAAATAAATAAATAAATAAATAAATAAATAAATAAATAAATAAATAAAAATAGTTCACATGTTCAAGGCATTTTCCCTGTGCCAGGCACTGCTCTAAGCCCTGATGGTGCACGGAGATGCCAGCAGGGCTGGATAGTGGCTGGCTCCAGGTCTGACCCAGGCGTGGTAGAGTCTGCCTGGAAATTGCTCGGGGGCTGGTGATATGTTCCATTGCTGGGAGCTGGGACTTGAAGGGAGGCCATATCTCAGAGTGCGCCAAGGAAATCCTGTGCAGGGAGGAGCAGGCTGAGCAGCAGTGCATTCACTCAACACGTACTTAATGCGCACCTCCTCCATGTCGGGCACTGGGGATTCACAATGGAACATACTCCCTGCCTCCATGGAGTGTTTAATATGCAAATGTGCCTCAGGAATCTGCAAGGGGAACAGTGTCCGGATGACATGCATCTAACATAACCATCCTTGCAGCCATTGTCTCCTTGAAGCCTCACCATAAACTATCCCTGTTTTACAGATAAGGAAACTGAGGCATAGAATTTCTTCCCCCAAATAAATTGCCAAAAGTTACACAGGTAGTCAGAATTTTGTATCTAGATGAATCTGACTGGCAAGCACCCACCCTTGCTGTGTCGGTGAATGTTCTGGGGATGTCTGTTGAGGACTGATGCTGGAATCGTGGTTAAGAGAGGGATTAGAAGCCAGTGATCCTCGCTCTGGACCTCAGCTCTGTGCCTTGCTCAACTTGTGACCTTTGGCAAGTACTTACTCTGGGTTCTCTTTTTTCTTTTTGAGATTGCCCAGACTAAAGTTTAGTGGTATGATCTTGGCTCACTGCAACCTCCATCTCCCAGGTTCAAGTGATTCTCCTGCCTCAGCCTCCCGTGTATCTGGGACCACAGGTACACACCACCAAGCCCTGCTAATTTTTGTATTTTTAGTAGAGACAGAGTTTCGCCATGTTGGCCAGGCTAGTCTTGAACTCCTGGCCTCAGGTGATCCGCCCGCCTCAGCCTCCCAAAGTGCTAGGATTGCAGGTGTGAGCCGCCGCACGCAGCCTCCTCTGGATTTTTTGTGCTATTTTTAAGATGGAGATAACAGCACCTAGTTCAACAAGATAACTGTGATGATTAAATGAGAAAGTAGGCTGGGTGTGGTGGCTCATGCCTATAATTCCAACATTTTGAGAGGCCGAGGTGGGAGGATCACTTAAGCCCAGAAGTTTGAGACCAGCCTACCAGTGAGACCTGGTCTCTACAATAAATACAAAAGAATTAGCCGGGCGTGGTGGTGAGCGCCTCTAGTCCCAGCTACTCAGGAGGCTGAGGTGGGAGAATCGCTTGAGCTGAGTTCGAGGCTAAGTGAGCTATAATTATGCCATTGCACTCCAGCCTGGGTGACAGAGTGAGACCCCGTCTCTAAAAAAAAAAAAGAAAGAAAGAAAAAAGAAAGGAAAAAGAAAGAGAAAGAGAAAATATAGAAAAATGACTTAGCACAGAAATAAACAGTAGTTCCATGGAAGACCCTCTACTCAATTTCTGACCTTCCTCTGGTGTGTGGGGAAAACACTCGCTGTTCGACTGGTTTGGGGGGGTCACTCTTCTGGGCCTCCTTGGCTTTCCCTATAAAGAGGGTCGAGAGGCTTTTGAGCCAAGAATAGATGTCAGCCTTGTGCCAACCAGGGCTCTCAGCTCTGCAGGACAAGGGGAAGAGGAGGCGGGGTGATGAGAAGGAAACAGGCTGACCAGCAGGCTAGAGAGATGGAGCCCACTCACTCGTGTCTCTTCTTGGCTACAGGGAGTGCCTGGAAACAACGGTTTGCCAGGACAGCCTGGGCTCACTGCGGAACTGGTGGGTACCAGCCAGGACTCCCTGTCCATGCCCCTTCCCTGCCCCTCCCAGGGCTGCTCAAGCTATGAAGCTGGCCCGGTAGCTGCAGTGGGGGTCCCTCTTCTCTCCCCCTTCTGAGGCTGGAAGGTGCATGGCATGTGCCAGGGCTCTACCTGATCCCATAAGTCTCCATGTCCCTTCCCTTCACCTGCTTGAGCCCACACATCTGTCTCTTGCAGGGATCCTTACCAATTGAACAGCACCTCCTTAAGGTAAGAGGGTACCCAGGAGAGAAGTGTGAGCTGGCGGGGGTGTCTCCTAAGGGGATTCTCTCAGTAAGTGCTCAGCTGTGTGGCACCTCGCAGAGAGAGCAGCAGTTTGCAGGGAATACGCGTTCCAAGCATCTGTCTATGAGGGCCTAGCTGATGCCTAAATGAGTGCTTAAAGGAATCCTGTGAAGGTGCCCACATGGCAGATGCTGTCGGCAGAACCCAGCCCTGAAGCCTGCCCGCAGCAGCTGGCAATGAGACCCCGTAGCACCCGGGTCACACCGCGGCAGAGCCCAGCAGCTTCCAAAGCAAAGCAGAGTGGGGGAAAGTGCAGTGGTAGGGGGCTGCGAGATTGGGTGTGGCCTGGAAGAAAGCTTCAGCCGTTCTCTAGTCAATCCGGAAGGAATCCAGGGAGGAGATGGATTTGAGAAGCCCTTCTGGTAGTCCAAGAAAGGGGACTTCGGACCTGGTCAGAGGGTCGGCCTGTGCCAGGGCCTGTACACAGCCTTAATACCCTACCAGAGGGCTGGGGCCTGGTCCGGCTTCCCAAACTGAGCAGAAGTTCCGATTGGAATCAAGGGTTGCATAGCCCATCTTTGCGTAGTCACCTCTAGAAACGAGAGCACAGTAATTCCCCAGGTTGCCTTCAGGTTTTTGAAGGAGGCCCTTATGTTCCTGGACTTTCTCTCCTCTGACTCAGCATCCTCAGGAGTCCTTCCCATGTGTTGGCCTCCAGAGCCCCCCTCATCCTGGCCACCCTCTTCTGACACTGGCTAGTCAGTGCCCTGGACATCCTGTGACCCTGATGGGCCTTGGTCAGGGCAGAGCATGGGGACTCTCTATCCCTCCCCTGCTCTGAACGGCAGATTTCTCCAGAAGCAGCCACAGGAGGTCGGGTAATCTCTAGGGAATAGTTACATGTTGGATTACAGTGGGGTTGTGGCAACAAAACCCCAAGCTCTTCTCCCCTCTGCTTCTGTCAATGACTGGGCAGTGATCGTGTGACTCCAAATCCAGGATTTGACATTTCTCCTGTAACATTTCATCTGCTGGCATCTTCATCAGGTGCTCTTCAGAGGATCCCAAATAGAAACTGTGCATAGTGTGGAGAAGGGGTCAGATGGCACCCCGGGGCATGCTGACCCAGCCCCAGCACCACCTGCACCCACAGTCCAGGAAGCCTGGGGAGAGAGTGCTGACTGTGGCCTAGGACAGGCCCACGCCAATCCAGACTCCCACTTTCCTCAGACAAGTCACGCCGCCTGTCTTGAGTGCTGGCTTTCCCATCTCCACACTGCTTATAGATTCCCTGCCTCACTGCACCGTCACGATGGGATGTGATCATGTGCAGGGCTTATTATGTACAGTGCCCAGCATCATGGGTGCTGAGTAAATGCCAGCCATGATCACTGGGCTTGGTGGTGAGCAGTGAAAGTGAGCAGGGGCTCCTGCCTGGGCGTCTGTGGACGCCACACTGGCCACAGACAGGCTCCAGGCTCCTGAGTCCTCAGAAACTACAGGCTGGTTTTCACTAGTGGGTTTGATTTTTCTGGGAAAAGGACCCACAGCTTCCATCAAACTCTCAGAGGGGTCTGTGACCTAAAGAAGGTTAAACCCCTTCCTGTGGGGAAGACAATTCTGGTGGCGCAATCTGAGCCAGGAGCCTGTGAGCAATCCGAGATCTGTCCCAGGGGCTCCTGGGAAGGGCCTGGCTCCTCCTGCAGCTGTTCCTTTGCTCCCTTGGGCAGAGAAGCTGGCATTCGGAGCCAGCCTTTCCAGCCTCGCTCCTCGTGGCTTGTCCTCACAGTGGGTGCAGGTTGCAGGAACAGCCGGGACAGATGGTCCCTCTGCGGGCCCCTCGCCTCCGCCCACACGCCTGTCTGGAAAGTGGCTTTGGTTTAGCTCTACCAGAGCTTCTTCCTGGAGGAAACTCAAAGCCAATTGATGGGAGTGGGTCCCCCGAGGATGGAGCAAAGCAGCCGTAGGGATGTGGCTGGGGAGAGAGGGAGTGTGAGAAGAGGGAAGACTGCGGGGCAGGGAGCCCCGGCTCTGGGTTCTCAGGTGGGCTCCCTAGTTGGCCCATCCTGGCCTTCTCTGACCCAGACCCCACTCCTCTCCCCACTCCCTGATCAGAGTATCTGCGGGGACTGTGTCCAGGGGCAGAGGGCCCACCCAGCATACCTCGTGGAGAAGGGAGAGAAGGGAGACCAGGGCATCCCTGGTGTGCCAGGCCTCGACAACTGCGCCCAGGTAGGGACCGGGCTTGAGGCCGCCCCGTGTGGGAGGGCTCCCTGGCTGCCTCATCAGACAGAGTGCCTCTCATTGTCCCTTGCAGTGCTTTTTGTCGCTGGAGCGCCCAAGAGCCGAGGAGGCCCGGGTGAGTGCCTCGCCTTATCTCCCCTGACCATGCCCCATGCCCCACAGAAAGAGGCCCTGATTGCCCACTGTCACCATCTCCATCCTTTTCCAGGGCGACAACAACGAGGGAGATCCCGGATGCATTGGGAGCCCAGGCCTGCCTGGTCCTCCGGGATTGCCAGGCCAGAGAGGAGAAGAGGTAAGACTAGGGATGAGGCTTCATCCTTAAAGGGGCTGGGGCCCGTCTGCCTTTGAGACCTTCTGGGGGCCTCTGAGGCCTCACGTGACTGATGCCCTTTACCACTCTGGGCTCATCTGCTCTCCTGGCACATGGCTCCTCTGGGATACACAGGACCCAGGGTAGGACACATTCCTCCTTCCCAGTGCCCAGCTGTGTCCTCTGCCTGCAACACTCTTCGGGGCTCATTCCTGCACTCCTTCAGCTCTGCTCAAGTGTCTCCTTCTCAGACTTCCCCTGACCACCCTCTTTCAAATTGAACACCACACCAACCCCAGAGCCTCCAGTCCCCTTGGCCTGCATCATACTAATCACCCTCCAGCATCCTGCCTATTTACTTCATTCAGGAACATTCCACAGGTGTCAACTCAACACCACTATGTGCCAGCTCCTATTCTATTTGTTAGTGTCCATGTCTCCCCTAGAATGTAACTGCTTTGAGGCAAGGGTTTTTATTTATTTTGTTTATGCTGTGGTCCTAGCCCCTGGACTAATGCCTGGTACATAATAGTTGCTCAATAAATGTTTGTAGGATGATTGAATGAGCCAAATGAAAGATTGTTCTGCTGGGACAACAGCTGCCCTCTGTTGACCTTGGCCCTGGCAAGCTGGGAGGAAAGCTGCTGGAACCCTGGGGGCTCTATGGGGCCTGGGCCTCTTCATCCATTTCCCTTGGCTTCCTTTGCAGGGTCCGCCTGGCATGAGGGGCTCCCCGGGTCCTCCAGGCCCTATTGTAAGTATCTGTGGTGCCCTGGCCTGCTTGAGAGGCTCTCAAAGGGGTCATTATGCTCAGACACCATCCCACGGCCTTGTCCCCAAAAGGCTGGGCAAGGCAGGAGGAGGGAACTTCCACTGCCCTCCCTGTCCCTCCACAGAGCATCTGCAGGAACTGTGCTCTCCTACCACCAAATGCCCTGGAACCACCCTGCTCTGCCCACTGCCTATGGTCCTGCTTAGGGGAGGTCCTCAGAGGCACATCTTTGCTTCCCTGTCCCCACCCCCTGCTGCGCTTTCCACAGTGGCCCCAGGCTGCCCTCAGCAGGGGGCCTAGGCTTCAGGCTCCCAGCCTCCCAGCCAGGGAAGCACGCGGCATGCCGGCCAGACCTCTCCATGCCCCTGTGATGCCAGTCCCCACAAGGGCTCGGGGCTTAGATGGAGCTGTCCTCCATTGCTCTGTAGGGCCATCTCTAGGGTAAATCTACAAAAACCAGACCAGGGCGTCTATTCTGGAGTCCTCTGTGATGTCGACATGGCAGGAAAATAGAAGTGACTAGGAAAGATTGAAAGAACTGAAAATGCTTTCTTTGGAGAAGAAAATGGCTGGTGGGAGCTGTCTTAGAGCCAGGGAGCCCCCACTCGGGGGACAGTTGGAGGTCGGGTGGCAGGCATGGTGGGCAAGGCTGAAAGAAACGGGCTTCTGCGGCAACCGGGTCTTCAGTTAGACTCCGGAAGACTCAGGAAGCACTCTGACTCTGGAGCCGTTCCCCATCTCTGTCAACGGAGGAGCCCTTCTTCCCGGAGCCAAGGGAGGAACAGTTGTCTTTTGAGCCAAGACTTTCAAGGAGTCTCTTTTCCAGTTGCCTTGAAAATACTCCCATGACCTCCTCTCCCCATGACCCCCAAGCCCCAGACTGTGCCCTCCAGGCTGTCCAGGGTTACTGTGCCTACGAGATGTGACCTGCCTGTTTCTCCCACCAGGGCCCCCCAGGTTTTCCTGGTGCTGTTGGCTCCCCCGGATTGCCTGTAAGAACCTAGCACTGCTCGACCTCCCCTCCCCTCATCAGCCAGGTCTCTGTGGCTTTTGCTTGTCTCCCTCCTGTCGTGCCTTCACCTCCGTCCTCCGTGTTTGTTGTCCCCCTTCAGGCACGGTAGCTAACGACACAGGTTCTCTGAGGTCACAGCAGCTTGGACATCCTCCCAGTCTCTGACTCCTTTTCATTTTCTCCTCTCCCTCCTCTCCTGCGTTCTTTCTCTCCTCTTCTCTCTCTTACCACGTTCTGTCTTCCTTCTCCATTTCTCCCACCATCCTGCAGCACTCCCGCAAGTCCTCCTAAGCTTGTGAACCTCCCTCTTAAGCTGGTGCCTCTAGGGGGCTCCTCCATTCCTGCCTTCTCACTCTGCCTCCTGCTTCTCACCACCTTCGGTGTTGCCTGAAGATTTGCTGAAAGTAGTTCTTGGGACCCTGCTAGGCACCTGGCTCAGAGCCCAGCAGAGATGCCAAAGCTTTAGGGCTTCACATTGCAGGCTGGCACAGGTTTGCTGCCCTGCTGCTTGGCAGGGCTGTCCAGAGGCACCCAGGGATTTAAAGGCAGCCCTTCCTGCACCTTTTCCATCGTCCTAGAGGAAACTCTCAGCTGCCTCCTCTTCCCTTCCTCTTCCTTGGCTCCAGTCCCAGTCTGCTCCAAGGCGGGGCATGTGATACCAGCCAGTTGGGTTTCTGGGTGTCGTGCGGCCCTGCCCCTCTGTGCCCGGCACCTTGGCCGGCTCCTTCTGCCAGGTGTCGTTAATTGCTCTGCCTTCGTCATCGTCACAGGTGTGTTTACATCACCCCCAGCCTCACTGTTGCTCCCTCCTGGGTCACGGAAACTAACCTCCTGTTTGTCAGGTTGCGTGTTCCTGGGGCCTGGCTCCTCTCCTCCCAGGCCTGGTGATGGAGGCTCAGGGAGCAGGGCCCCTCCTCGTCACAGTTCCATCTGTCCCCACCTCCTCATCTGTGGCCGGGCCTTGTCTGTTTCTGCTTGCTTGGGTGAAGGGGCCATCTGTCCGTCTAGCCATCTGTCTTGTGTCGTGGAAAGGTTTGGGCGCCGTCTCTTGAGGGGATGAGGGAGAAGGGGGCACAAAAGATGCCCGTAATGGCGCGGCACCCGCAAAGGCCGGGGTAAGGATTTAGGGGTGGGGGCTGTAGCTCTCGTGGAAAGTGACATGCCCTCTCACCCTACAAAGTGACAGGGACTGCTCTGGAGGCAGCCTTCCTGTGTCTCTCCCCTGCCTCCCTCCAAGAAAGTGATCTTTGGCTTGGGGTGGGGGACTTGGACAGGTAAGTGTTGGGTGTCTGATGATGTAATACACTTTGGTGGCAGCATCCATCTGGGGTACCTCTCCTGATGGTTGCCCCTCAGAATGAGCACACATCTGATCTGTCAGCTTCCTAAAGGTGTACCCCAGTCAGTTACCATGGCAGGGCATACCAGTGACCGGCACCTGAGAGGTACCCTCCCAGAGTCACCCCCACTGGAGGGCATATCTCTACAGTTACCTGTCTTGCAGAGTATCCTCCTGAAAGGCACCCATATGTGGGGGTTCACACCTCTACCACTCATCCTGCTGGAGCACATCCTTACGGGTCACCTTGCTAGGGACACTAGAGAGCCACTTTGGCCTCCACATTTGCCTGGAGTGGGAACAGAAGGCAGTGGGGCAGGGGGAAGGAGTCAGGGGCTGGGTGGGACAGCCCGCTCCTGCAGTTTCTCATGATTTTTCTCTCCAAGGGCCTTCAAGGAGAGCGAGGCCTCACAGGCCTGACTGGAGACAAGGGGGAGCCGGTAAGAGGAAGCTGGCAGGGGCTGGAAAGGGAGGAAGAGCTGGGGAGGCAGAGCTTGGGCTCCGAGGGGTGGCTGCCGAGTGGAAGCTGGGAGGTGGACTCCTTATGACTCTCTGCCCTTCTGCCAGGATTCCCTCAGTGTGAGGTTTCCACACTCCCCCAGGAGCAAAGGAGGCCGATCTCCATGCGCCCCGACTCCCTGCCAGAAGCATGCATAGCCCCTGTCCTCCAGCAGCGTCCCTGAGGGCTCCCCTCCCGCCCTCCGCCTTCGTCACTCAGCATCCCTGCCCACCCCCTCTTCCCTGGTCCTCACGCCTGCTCTGAGATCCCTGTTCTGGCTCAGCTGTCAGGGTCTGGGCCAGGCTGGGGTTCGCACCCCCAGCCCAGGTCTGTGGTGGAGGTCACGACCAAGGGGACCTGGGGCTTGGGGAGATGGCCCAGTGTGCAGTGCTGGGGCAGGCTGGCACCTGCTAGATGGCAGCCCCAGAGGTTTTAGCTTTGGCTACCCTCTTACCCAGCGAGGGGAGAACAGAAATGTTGGGGGGCTATCCATCATGTCTGCCTTTCTTCGTAGGGTCCTCCAGGGCAACCAGGTTACCCAGGTGCCATGGGCCCCCCAGGACTGCCTGTGAGTAAGGGGACTCTTGCTGGGGAGTGGGTGCTGGGTACCGGAGGCTTGGGCTGGTGGTCAGGACAGAGCCAGGCTGGGCAACCCTCGGCGGGCTCCCCATTCACGGGCATTTCAGCCTCTTCCTTTGCCTAAAGTCCATGCAGCCTCCTCTCCCCATTGTAGGCCCCCTTGCAGCATGGCTTGGTCCCACCACTCTGCTCAGGCCTGACTCTCAGAACACTCTGCCAGGCCCAGACACGGCAAGAACTGAGATCTGCCTCCGGGGGATGGGGGGTTTGGGAGATTGGAGAGACAGCTTAGAGGTGCCACCCCCACAGAAGCTGCTGGGTGGGTGTGTCCTCCTTTTCCAATGGGGGCTTGGGGGGCACGGTGGCTGGTGGGAGGCACGGCAGCTTTGGAGCCCCCAGCAGTCCTCCCAGTGCCATCCCCCCAGAACCGGTCTGGGTGCCAGCTACAGTCTCCACTCCTCGCATTAGCGCCATGACGGGCTAATTCTGCGGGGCTAATTCCACTGTCTCTTTGCCACTTGTCAGGGCATCAAGGGGGAACGTGGCTACACCGGGTCAGCGGGAGAGAAAGGAGAGCCGGTGAGTCCCAGCAGCACGGGGGCGGGTGCAGGGCTGCACGTGGAGCCGCACAGCCTCCGGCTAGAGACTTGGCAGCAGCCTGTGAAGGGGAGGACTGTGACCCCTGCTGCCCCCCCGCCCCCGAGCCTGCAGCACAGGCTGGGCCCTGCGGAGGTGGAGGCTGTGAGGAGAATCCCCACAGGGCTGCCAAGGGGAGGGGGCCAGGAGGCAGCTGCGGAAGCATTCCTCTGCCTCACGCAAAGGAGGACCTGGGACAGTAGACCCCCAGTGGTCCCCAGGCCCCCCAGAACCACCCTCCAGAGCCAAGGCCTGCCAGGCCCCATGTTGAGCACGGGAGTTGGGCTGTGACCAGATGAGGACACTGGGGCCCCCAGAGTGACAAAGCTGAGACTCACCCAGGGTCCCGAAGCTAGTGAGTGAGTCAGTGGTGGAACCTGGACTTGAACCCACATCTATCTGGTGACAAACCTCACAAACCTCAGATCTAGGATCAGTCAAACTGGGACTGCAGCCTTACAGAGTCACTAATTTCAGTGAGGCCCCAGTAGAATTCAGCAAACCCCATCAGGCATTTACTCAGTAACAGATATTTCTCAGGGGCCTGCGGGGTGCCGGGCTCACCTCTGAGGATGTCTCCGTGAACACAGCAGGCAGTTGCCCTCTTGCCCTGCCATGGGGGAGGCAGCTGCCAGATGAATAAACAAGTGCCTAGGAACTGATGAGGGCTGGGACTCCTGGAGGAAGTGGGACGGGGGAAGGGGCTGGAGAGGTGTTTGGGCACCATCGAAGCGGAGGGGCAGGAAGGCCTCTCTGAGCAGGTGGCATTTGAGCTTAGAGCTGACTAGCAGGAGGGAGGGATCCCTGTGGCTGTCTATACTGGGGAATTCCAGAGGGAGAGGCTGGGCGGGGCACTGCAGGAACAGCTTCCAGCCATCAAATGATTTGGCAAGAGTTCAGGAGACCTAGAACGGGGAGAAGGGGGCATTCTAGGTAGGAGGGAAAGCTGTGCCAAGGGTGCAAAGGCCTGGGGGTGGGAGGGTATAGAGTGTGTCAGAGAACAGCAGTCTGACTGAGCAAGGCGGAAGATGAGAAGGAGAGAGGGAGGAGAAGTGGGAAAGGGTGGCTGGTGCCAGATCACAGGCTGCCTCAAAGACCAACGTTGTTGGGAAGTGTGCGCCCCACTCAGATGCAGAGGGAGCCGCACAAGGTGTTTGAGCAAGAGAGTGACATAATCAGAGCTGTGTCGGAGGAGAAGAGGGCAGCCATTTGCTGGCTGACTTGGAGTCAGCCAGGAGGTGGCAGGACAAGTTAGGAGGCTGGTTCAGCAGCTCAGGCAAGAGCAGGGAAGCCTGAGCAGACCAGGCAGAGGGGGCCTGCCAGCTCAGGGGCCTCCCAGCATGTGCCGCCTCTGTTCTAGGCAGTCCCCTGTCACATCCCCCTACCTCATCCTTCACCTCCCCAGGAGGAGTGACTGATTCTGTTCCTTTGTGTCCTTAGGGCCCCCCAGGATCTGAAGGCCTCCCGGGCCCCCCAGGCCCAGCGGTGAGTGAAGGAGGGCATGGGGAGACGTAGTCCTGATCTTGTCCTGGGATCTGAGGGCAGGAAGATTAGGTTTCGGCTGCATTGTTCTCTGTGGGTGACAGGGTCCCAGAGGAGAGCGAGGACCCCAAGGGAACTCGGGTGAGAAGGGCGACCAGGTGAGTGACGATTGGGACCCGGCTGCAGGGAGGCAGAGAAGGGGCTGGGTCCCTGATGATCACCAGCTCTAGTCTCCCCACCCTACCTGTCCTTGGGCTGTTACCTACCTCATGCCCAGAGCCTTACCTGCCAGCCATGGTGGGCCGAGGGGAGAGCAACGCCCGTGGGTTTGAGGGTGCCCCACCTGTCACTCTTTCCTCCTGGGCAGCCAGGCAGGAGAGAGGGGGTGGCACAGTACACTGTCCCTTGCTTCTCACCCTAGGGATTTCAAGGCCAGCCAGGCTTTCCGGGCCCACCGGTGAGTGAAGAAGACACAAAGCCGGCTCTGTCTGATGTGGTCTCATCGGGAGGGGCAGGCCTGACCAGGCCAGGCTAGGGGAGGATGGTCCTGGGGAGAAGAGGGGAGAGGCAGGGGAGAACGGCCTGGGTGGCCAGGCCTGATTCCAGGAACCAGGACCTGAGAGCCCAGCCTCTTGGGTGGGCCCCAGCCCGGCAGGCCCGGCAGATGTCATGCTCCCGGGTGGTGCTTCTAGGAAGTCGAAATGAATTGCGTTAACAACAGTGCATCACACACAGGAAGAAGAAAGAAGGGGAGCTCCCCCTCCAGCCCCACTTTCATTCCTGCCTGCCCCTTTGTTGATACAGGGTCCCCCTGGATTCCCAGGCAAAGTTGGAGCACCTGGCCCACCTGGCCCTCAAGCAGAGAAGGTGAGCAGGACCCCGGGCTGGCCAAAGTCACAGATCTGAGCCATGCAGCTCCCATGCCCTTGTCCCACCCCTAGCATCAGGCTTTCAGGAAATTCCAAGACTGACTCAGTTGCATCAAGGCTGGAAAAAGAGGCCTCCAGGATGGGCCCAGTGACTACTGGAGGCTGACACGGCCTGCAGCGGACCAGTGGGCTCCTCGGGATGTCTGCTTGGCCCAGGATGCCTGCGGCCTCTGTTCAGCCCAGGTCCTTGTCTGCTGGGATGGGGGGGAAGGCAGGGAGGTAGGTGGGGAGGAGGCGGCGGTCTGATGGAGGACTAGAATGCGACAGGCAGCCCAGGCCACCTTCGTCTCCTGGGCGGGAGGACGAGCAAGGAGCTGAGAGAAGGGGAAGCACGTCCTGAAGGAGGACACCAACGTGGAAGGGAAATGGGCTCCTCCTGGGTAGCCATGCTCCAGTTGTCCCCAAGGGCCCAGAGAGGGCAGGGGTGGCCTGTGTCCTGCCTGGTGGCAAGGGTTGGGGGAGCAGCAGTTGGGGGAGCTCCTATGCTGGCTGCTCTTGACTTTGGCTTGATAAATGCTGGAGACATGGCTCTGCCTTGGTTTGGGGCTGACATCCCTGTCTCGGCCCAACCTCTGGGCTCCCTAGATGTGCTGAGTGGGTGGTATAAGAAGCCCCAAGATTGACTTCTGAGCTGGGGGTCGGGGGCATCTGGGTCCAGAGGGACAGGTAGGAGCCTACAGACTTGTGGAGAGCCTCTTTCCCCTGAGAGCACACACATGAACGTCTCACTGTGCAGGTGAGGAAACTGATGCCCATAAGGCTTGGGGCAGCCCAGAGGCACACAGTGGTGTTAGCAGCAGAGCTGAGACTTCCTTCCCAGCTCCAGGAGGACCTGGGACCCTCACTACCTCCCCAGAGCCCACGCTGATCAGCCATGGTTGGGACAGTGGTGGTTGCTAGCTCTCTTCACTTGCCTTCCCTGCAGAGGACCTGAGTGGCAGCCCCTGCTCTCCTTAGGCTGGTCATTGCAGAGAATCCCAAACCTCTGGCCAGTGGTTCTTCATCCCAACTCCCAGTGGGGGCCAACATTGGTTGGGGCTGTGCTGACCCCTCCTGGTAGCTGGTGGCATTGCAATGCCCCCCAAGTTCTTTTTCCCCTTTGCTGAGTCTCTCTAGTGGGATCCCTTCCCTTGACCACCCTACAGCCACTGATCCAGGGCAGCCACCCTCTCCACACTGGGAGAATGCAGCAGCCTCCCCTGCTATGCTGCTTGCCTCCCCCTGCCTTTTCTAGTAAACTCCAATCCATGCATCAGTTCTCATCACTCTTCTGCTTTGAACCTTCAATGGCTCCCCAGTGCCTGTAGCAGGGGTTTTTAGACTTTATTTTGTAGTCCCAGAGCCTTTTTATCACATAAAAGCAAATGTAAAAACCTCAATCTACAAAACAAACACAAGTGGAGTTCCCTGGCTGAGACAACGATGGGGGTCCTGGAGTCCCCCTCTTCAGTCCCCACTTCATACCCCCAGCTTCGAGACTCCCCCAGGAGCCCCAGCGCTCTGAGAAGTACAGCTTAAAAACCACTGACTGTTCAATAAAGTTTAGCACAGCGTTCAGGGCCCCCACTCATTAAGGTGACTCTTCCAGCCTCTTCTGCCTGCTGGCCCGTCCCACAGGCTCCCCCAGACACCCTGGCCAGGCCAGGCATGTGACCACTTGCAAATCTTTATCCTTCTCTTAGGTTCCCTTTGGCATGTGCTTTTCTCTTCCACCTGCCCAATCCCAGAGTCTAGCATCTGGTGACACTTCTGTGACACTTTCCCTGATCCCCAGCCGGAGGGAACTGCTCCCCATTCTGGGCTCCCTCAGCTCCTTTCCACACAGAACACATGGACTGTTGTATTGCCCCTGGTTGTGTTGGGCCCGTGACCCTCACTAGATTGTGAGCTCCTGGAGGACAGGGGCACCCACTTTTTCATCTTGGGGAATCAGAGCCCACATGGCACTGGGTGCGCTGTTGAGGCCTTTGTGCAGCCCTGGCCCATGTCTATTGGGGTGGGGGGAAAGGCAGGGAGGTAGGTGGGGAGGAGGCAGAGGGTCTGATGGAGGAGTAGAATGCAACAGGCAGCATTCGCAGTGGATTGAAGCTGTGCTTTCAGTTCAGCACATGCTACTGAGCCCCTGCCACGCCAGCCCCTGGGTCAGCACTGGAGAAGATGCCCTGTCCCTTCCTCATGGGGCAGCAAGGAAAGGGGATGCTTTGCAGATGAAGACAGATCCTCCTGGGGAGGCAACGAGTGGCCCATATGCAGTTAGACAGGGACAGACGGGGCCCAGAAGCCAGCTGTCCTGATTCCAGCAGTCACCAGGACCCTTGACCCAGGGCCTGGTCTCCACAGGGAGGGCAAAGCCGTGATGACTTTATTGGTGGGGGGGGATGGTTTCCAGGGCAGCGAAGGGATTCGAGGCCCATCAGGCATGCCTGGTTCCCCTGGGCCACCGGGACCTCCTGGGATTCAGGTGAGTATGTGCCCTTTTAGCGTGGCAGGTGTGTGGGGTGTGTGCACATGTGTGTGGTGCACGTGTGTGGTGCACGTGTGTGTGTGCTGGGATAGGAGTCAGGGGAGGGGTGGAGAGAACTGAGGGGCTGGGCCAGGTCTCCCACCTCCTAGGGCTCCTGCACCAGCATGCAGAAATGCCTCTTTCCTGTTTCCAGGGCCCCGCCGGTCTGGATGGTCTGGATGGGAAGGACGGCAAGCCTGGCTTGAGGGTGAGATGATGGGCCGGGAGGGCAAGCATCCCTTCCCCTCCTTTTTGCCGAGGGAGCCAAAGTCAAGGTAACCTTGATGGAAAGAACCAACATATCCCTGTCTTTGTCAGGAGGCACCCATGCCCTCCCTTGGTCTGTCTTTCTCTGCACTCCAGCTCCCCGATGGCATCACAGCCCCTTGGCTTCCCAGTTCTCCTAGTGGCCTTAGGCAGGTTAGGCGAGCTAGGTCTCACCAAAGGCAGATGGTGAAGGCACTATGTATGCAGAAACTCAGACAGCCGAGGAAACCAGGCTGGGCTTCAGGAAGAATCAGGGTGTGGACATGGAAGGACTTGAGCAAGCCCTGGCTCCTTGGGTTTTGCTGGGGAATCTGAAAGGGCTGGGGCCATGGGACAGGGTAGAATATCAAAGTCAGCCCCCTTATATATCCCAAAGAAGGAAAGCTAAGGCCCGGAGAGGGGCTGGAAGTCACTGAGGATCCACAGCCAGTCAGAGGCTGAGCCAGGTTTGGATTCTTCCCTCCATCCTGGGATAGCTGAGGAGGGCTTGAGAGAGGGGAGGACAGTGGTATGAGTTGGATACAAGCTGAGCAAAACTCTTGTCTCAATCCTCCTCATCTCTTTTCCTAGGGGGACCCTGGTCCTGCTGGCCCCCCTGGACTCATGGGACCACCGGTAAGTTGAGGTGGAGGAAGGAGTTGGAAGCTGCGAAGTTGCAGCTTCTGTCTGGGTGGCTGCAACAGCTCCAATCCAGATCTTCCATGGACCGTGTTATGACTTTGGATTGGTTTGAATGGTTTGAACTGAGGAAGGAGGAGTGGGAAGAGGCCCCAGCTGACATGAGGGACAGGAGAACTCCCTGCCTTTTCTTTCAGGGCTTCAAGGGGAAAACAGGACATCCTGGCCTCCCAGGACCTAAGGTAAGGGCTGGTGACCTCTGCCAAGCAGGTTGTGTCTGCTTTCCTGAAGGCCTGCCCCCAGGCGGACATGGCAGCCTATCCTGGGCAGAGAGGCCATCCCAGTATCAGAGCCTCCTGGGGCCACTGGTGCCTGGCAGCAGACTGGGTCAGGGTTTCTCTGTCTACCAGCTGGAGGGCATCAGAGGGCCTCTGGCCAAAGCTGGGGCAGGTGGCAGGGCCCCTCTAATGTGAGGTTGACTTGGGGTAGGGATGTCAAGTGAAGGTCTGGTGAGCTCCAGCTGTTCCTCTCTCTTCTAGGGTGACTGTGGCAAACCAGGTCCCCCTGGCAGCACTGGCCGGCCTGGCGCAGAGGTGAGGACCAGGGATCCACACGGCTGCCTTCAGTTTGCCTTTGGACTCTGAGGAGTCTGGGATGTAGCTGCTTCTTCCTGCTCACTGGCAAATTGGCTGCTTTCCATCCTCAGCCTTCTGGGAGGGGTGTCACCCAACACTGCACGTCTTGAACTTTCTCTCTCCTCTTAAGGATTGTAACTGGTTCTGCTCCCTGGAGGTTGCTGGGTCGCCAACCTAAAAAGGCAGGGCCTGGCCTGCTCAGGCTGAGGGTCCGTCTTCTCTACCTAACTCTCTGAGAGACTTGGGTCTGGAGGCTGGGAATTGGCCCGGCTCCTTTGGCCATTGGCGTTACCACCTATTCTGCCTAGCCCCCTCCCACCCGACAGCCACATGGTGCAAGCCAGTCAGTTTCAGTGTCATTTTTTCCTTTTTCTGGCTCCTGCAGGGTGAACCTGGTGCCATGGGACCCCAGGGAAGACCTGGTCCCCCCGGCCACGTTGTGAGTTGAACCACTTTTGTCTCTGTCTCCATAAGAATTAGCATTTTGGCGGGGTGGGTGGTGGCGCGTAGGCTGTCATGACCTGAGAGAACTTGCCATAGGGGCTGCCCCAGCCATGGGAGCTAGACGGGGCATTGGGCCACTCTTTCTGTGGTTTCCAGGCTTTTTGTTATTTTCTTATTTTCTGGGCACATTCAAGTTCACTTATCAGATGAAGGTCATTCAGTCAACAAATAATCGTGGAGCCCCTGCGCCATGCCAGGCTCGGGGGATTTGCTGATGAGCTGGATTGGGGCTGGGGAGACAGAGTGACAGAAAGAGAGGAACCAGGGGTGACTTCTGCATTTGGCTTGGGCAACTGGGTAAATAGGTGGTGTGTTTCCCAAGATGAGGTGACTTGGAGAGGACATTTATCAAGCAATAATGAATTTCCTGTCTACTTTACTCATCACTAACATAGACGACTGCCAGGCAGTGCCTTTGATCAGTGTGACGGCACTGAGCTGATGGGACTCCAGAGAAAAGCGAAGATACTGGCATTTTGTTGCAGCCCTGTTGTGGCTGGCTGCATAATAATTTCCAGGAGGCTCTTGGAAATGTTAAAAATAGTTCACGACCAAAAAAAAAAAAAAAGAACTCTCAGGCCCCCATCACTATTTTTATGCATCTCAAGGGGTCCAGAGGCCCTGGATTGGGAACGCCATATTGAGCCTGGTTCCCCCTCACATTGCAGATGACAGGGGGAGGTGCGCTCAGAAGCGTGGCCCTGTTGGAGACTCAGTGGGGCTGGGGCCAAGGGGGTGCAGGGTTCTGCCTCTCACTTCTGTCTGTCTGGCCCCGTCGTCTTGCAGTGTGGCAGTCTCCATGCTGGACACTTCCACCCCAGGAGACTGGAGATGAATAGAACACAGGCTATGGCCTCTGGAACGTGCCACCTGGGCGTGTGAAGGGAAGCGCTCTGAGAGAGACCCAAGTGCCCGGGGGGTTCAGAGAAGTTGTCACTCTGACCAGGGAGGTGACCTTTTGCACTGCAGAGGCATAGATGTAGGCATCAGAGCTAGAGGAGGGCATTTTAGACGCCGCCCTAGTGCAGCAGCCGGGTCTGTCTGGGTATTGGAGTCCTGTGCACCCCAGTGTTGGCCAGCGAGTGTTGGCTCCTTGTCACTGTGGATGGCGGGGTCAGTGCCAAGCCCCTGCCCCTCCCCCACTGCTACACAGACCCCCAGCTCCTGGTCTTCCCTTCTCCATAGACCAGCAGGAAGTGGGCTGCCTTTAGGGAAGCAGGGGTCTCAGTAGCCACCTAGGCCAGGGAGTAACTCCCCAGGCCTTTCTCCTCTGCACTTGGCCTCTGGCCATGGCTTTCAGATCATCTCCCTCAGCACAGCCCCAGATGCTCCACTCAGCCTGCGTTGGAGGGAGGGTCCTGTGTGCCCAGGACCCCCAGGCCTCAGCTCTGGGCGCAAATCTTGTCAGAAGCTCAAGTGCAAGACCAGAGCGAAGGAAGGTTTCCAGAGGAAATGGAGGCGCTGCAGTTTAGAGCTGGCTCCTGCTGTCAGGCCCTGTGCCTCCCAGAGGTCTTACTGTTAGAACCTGTTTCTATCCCACTGACTCATCTCTCTTTAGGGGCCACCAGGGCCTCCAGGCCAGCCAGGACCCGCTGGGATCTCTGCAGTGGTGAGTAGCACACTCCGCTCCTTCCTCCCTCCCAGGAGTTTTGCCCTGCTTGGCTGTGGCGCCATTCAGAGCAAGTGTGGGGATGCAGAACACTTTGTCTCATCCCCTACTTCCCTGGCGTCAGCCCCTCCGGCCTCCAAAGATCTCGCCTTCCAGGATGTGGTAGAGGGCTTTGGAGAGGGCTGGAGGTCATCTCAGAGTCCTGTTGCAAGTTCAGGCAGTGCCACCTCTCCCTGTAGTCCCTGGCACAGGATGGGGTGTCTGTCTCTGTCTACATGGGGGTCCATTTTGCCTGCTTCCCTCCCCTCTCACTGTCCCCCTTCCTATTCTCTAGGGTCTAAAAGGAGACCGAGGAGCCACCGGAGAAAGGGGCCTTGCAGGCCTCCCAGGCCAGCCCGGCCCCCCTGGACACCCTGGCCCCCCGGTAAGATCCCACATCCCACAGCATAGCCCAGGGGGAAAGAGTCAGTTGGCTTAAGGCCCATTGAGCACAGCACAATATATCTGGGGTCTCCAAGGAAAGAGAGGCTGTCAGCATGGCAGGATGGCAGCGTGGTGCTCAGGCCTGAGGATCATGCTGAGTTTGGAAGAACAGGCCCTGCAAGGCAGTGCTGTGCCAGGCTGCACACGAGGTCACTGCCTGTGACGGTGCCACAGCATCAACCTTCTGCAGACCCCTCGGCTATGTGTCCCTGTTCTGCCCCTGCCTCTTCCCCGGGGGAGCTTGTCGGTAACCACAGAAAATCTTGCTAAATGTCAGGAAGCAGAAATGCAGTGCTGTTACTGTAACTTCCCGAGGTCCTCGGAAACCAGGACTTGGTCTCAGCTCACGTTTAACACTAAGAGCACTGATATATCGGTCATCGATGTGTGCCGAATGGTGGACTAAGTGCTTGCTGTGCATTTTGTCTTAATCTGTGCTGCAGCCCCATTTAGTGGATCTGATTGTCCCCGCTTTACAGATGAGGAAACGGGGGCTCTGCAAGGTTTCCTTAGAGGCAGGTTGCTCGGAGTCACATAGCTAGTGAGTGGAAGAGCTCTGACTTGACCCCAGCCTGCCTGACTCCAGAACTTGGTCCTTAGCCACTCTGAAAATCTACCTCTCTTAAAAGTTCCAGACAGGTGAACCCCATCAGGTGCAACTGATTGCCAGGGTCAGGGATGAAAAGTCTCCTGGGAGAGCAGAGGCAGGGACCCAGGTCTCCTGGGACCCATCAGGATGTGTTCCGTCAACGCAGACTTTTTCTGGGGGGCAGCAGCAGTGACCGTGGGGCTGGTGGCCTGGGCTGGGGTGTCTGACTCTAGTTAGCCCATCTGCCAGGAGGGCCCAGTCTCACCACACCTATTCGCCCTGATTCGTGCCAAGGACCCTGCCTCCCTTTTTGCAGGCTCAGGAGCCTCCATGGCCCCTGGATGAATCTCCCACTTACCTAGCAATCCGAGTCCTCTTCCCCAGCAGCCATCAGAAGGGGGCTGGCCAAAGGAGGCAGCCTTGCTGGTCTCGGGGAGGGGGCCGGCTCAGGCTGCTCATGTGTTCATTCAGCAAGCGTTTAACATAGACTCAGAGCCAGGGAGTGTGTAAGGTGCCAGGATCCAAGCACACAGCAAGGCAGGCACGGTCTGTTCTTCCCTTGTAAAGCTCTTGTAGATGGGGGCTGGGAGCTGCTGGGGCTCTGGGATCAGGCTGGAGTAGGGGGTGGGGGTCTGAGTTTCCATGGCCCAGAGTGTCAGAGGGTGAGGGCTGGAGGATCGTGGCCTCTGGGTGGAACAGGGGGCTGGGCATGCCCTGTGTACACGGTGAGGCATCTGACACCAAACTGGGATGGAGCTCATCACGTCTCCATTGCTGTCTACTCCCCAGGGTGAACCTGGTACGGATGGTGCAGCTGGCAAAGAGGTACGGTTGTACTGGTCTTCTCTGTTTCCTTGGGGATGCTTCTCCCTCCTCACCTTGCCCTGACTCCTCTTCATTTATTCAGTAAACATTCCCTCTATGTACGGACTATCTCTGGACAGATATACAGGAAATTGTTAACCCTTGTTGTCCTGGGGAGAGGAATCAGAGACTTGAGGCCAAGGATGGGAGTGAGATTTGTTTTACCATTTTTTAAAACTCTGTACCTGGTCAAAAAGAAAACAATAACAACAACAACAACAATAATAATGATAATAATAAATTCCAAACAAACATCTCCTGGGCACCACGTCTTTCCAGGCCCCCCAGTATGCCACAGACTGGCCCTCTCATTCTGACTTCTTCTCGACTCTCTTCATCTGTGATGGGGGCCCAACCAACACGCTTCAACAAGGCCATGCTCCAGAAGACATTACTCTCCCTTCCAGCTGTCAGCCCCTCTGCGGGCAGGGAGGCTGCAGTCCTTGCTCACACAGAGCCTGGTTGGACACACTTGGGGGCCTCGGGCTGTGGAAAGGGCCTCTTCACCGCTCCTCCCTCCCCAGGGAGCCTCAGAGATGCTGCCCGGACTTCAGCTCTGACTTTTGCTTTCCTCTAGGGACCCCCTGGAAAGCAGGGACTCTATGGACCTCCTGGTCCCAAGGTGAGTGGGCACTGGCTGGGTTTGAGAGGAGAAGCTCATGAGTGGATGTAGCCCAGCTCCAAGTTATGACTTTAGCCACAGAGAGGAGACACAGGAAGGCCACTGGGCAAGGTAAAAAATTGCAGAACTTGGAGCAGCATAGTGTCTGAAAATTTCTCCTATGGGGTCATTACCCGGCCCCCCGGGTAGGTTTTTATTGGTTGTGAGGAAGGAAATCTCCAATTCATTTACACACTGATTGACTGATTCATTCATTCATTGCTTCCATTTCCCGAGTACCCCCTTGCTCCTGTTCACATTCCAGGCTCTTGTCCTGGCCTCAGGTAAACAGAGGTCCCTGAACAATAGGTGCTCACAATAGATCAGTCACACTTACACTAGGGATTGACAAGTTTTCCAGAAGATGATGAGACATAGTGCTGTGGGATGAGAGGGAGGAGCACCTAACCCAGCCTGGGGAGTTGGAGAGGCTATGGAGAGAACGGGAACGGGAGCTTCAGCTCTGGAGGGGTGCACTGGGTAGAGAGAGATGAGGAGAAAGGGATTTCAGGCCAGGAGGACCACAACAACACGGCAGAAGCAGAGAATTATCACCAGTGAGGTCTGGCAGGAGGTGGAGGGTGGGGAGAGGAGGCTGAGGAAGGAAAGATCAGGACCACATCATGAATGGCCTTGCATGCCCAGCCAACGAATGAGTGCTTTATCCTGAGGACATTTGGGAGCCATCGGAATTTCTAAGCAGGGAGTAAAGGGAGTAATGCCAGGAGAACTCTTCTAGAAGGACCACTCTGGGAGAGTGAGGCGGAGTGACCTGTCAGGATGCTGTGGCCACAGTCTAGAGGGAGACACTGGGGGCCTGGTGGGAGGATGGAGAGAAAAGGGCAGATTGGTGAGACATCATGATGTAAATTTGACAGCACTAAGTATCTATCTTTGTAGGGTGATCCGGGAGCCGCAGGACAGAAGGGCCAGGCAGGAGAGAAGGGGAGAGCCGGCATGCCTGGTGGGCCTGGCAAGAGTGGTTCCATGGGGCCTGTTGGGCCACCAGGCCCTGCAGGAGAGAGAGGCCACCCTGGAGCTCCAGGGCCTTCAGGGAGCCCTGGCTTGCCTGGTGTGCCTGGCTCCATGGTAAGGGGGAAGGCTGGCGGCTGTGGGCACTGTCCCATAGAGCAGGCATGTGGGGTGGAGCACAGATCATCTTCCAAGCTCCTGCTGACATTCTGTGGGAAAGAGCATGGCTCCCACAGAGGGCGGCTCTTAACTGTGTGCAGAAGGGTGGGGAAGACAGGACCCTCACCCCAGAAAAATACACTTAAGCACAAAATGTTTTGTACCATTTCTGGGTGGTTAGGACTTTGGATTAAGGACTTATGGAGGTTGCTGTGAGCCGAGATCGCGCCACTGCACTCCAGTCTGGGTGACAAAGTGAGACTCTGTCTCAAAAAAAAAAAAAAAAAGAATCTGTGGGAGGCTCCTGGGACCTTTGCCTTCCTCCCCATCCTTTATTTCCATAGGGGAAAGTGCCAGGCTTGGAAGTATAATTGAGGCAGGTTTTCTTCTCTTTCTTCAGGGAGACATGGTGAATTATGATGAAATCAAGAGGTTCATCAGACAAGAGATCATTAAAATGTTTGATGGTAACTGGCAGCCAGCTGGGTGGCAGTGGGTGCTGCCTGCCCTTCCTGAGACTTCTCTGCCCTGCTTTGGCCTCCTTTTCCTTAAACCTCAATGTCCTCCTGCTCTCACCCTCCACACACTCACAGGCCTGGGGTTGACAGGCAGATGTTCAATTATCCTTCAGACCTTCCTTGTCACCTGCTCTGTTCAGAGATAAAATGATTCCCTCCCGCGTTCCCCAAGCCCCCACTTGAGCAAAGGAGACAGACAAGAAAATTGGTATCAAACGAGTCTGCCTGAAGTGAGCTCTAAATACAGGGGCGAGTGGCACTGGAAGATGGCTGGGGTGGTTTATTTGAAATGTTTTTTCTGTTCATTTGTTCATCCAACATTGATGTGCCAGGGACTGGGGGAAACACAGGCCCTGTCCTGAAGGGGCTGAACGTCTTGCTTGGGAAGCAGACCTTGAATGCCAAGCAAGGGATCCAGACTTTATTCTGAAGCCGGCGGTGAACTAATGAGGGCTGTTGGAGCAGAGATGCCATAGTCAGATCTGTGCTTTGGAAGGATCTCCATGGGGAGCGATGTGGAGGCCAGGACATGGGACCCCCCTTGGGAGACTGACCGCCATACTCCTTGCCCTGACATCCCTGTGAAGGAAGGCTGCTGTGGACTCCATGCTGGTGACCTATATGCGGCATCTGCATTCATTCTGAGTCCCCGGGGGACCCTCTGACCTGTCCCTGTCCTTGTCCTTTTTTTTACAGAGAGAATGGCTTACTACACCTCCAGGATGCAGTTCCCCATGGAGATGGCAGCGGCTCCGGGACGACCAGGGCCCCCAGGGAAGGATGGTGCTCCCGGCAGGCCAGGCGCTCCAGGGTCACCTGGGCTCCCTGGTCAGATTGGCAGAGAAGGACGGCAGGGCTTGCCAGGAATGAGAGGTAGCTCTGCCCTAGTTTCCAAGGGACACATGTAGTCCTTTGGGGCAGACCTAAGTATTCCATGAGGTCTGTTGTGAATATGGGATGTGTGTGTGTGTGTGTGTGTGTGTGTGTGTGTGTGTATGTGTGTGTTTGTTTCAAGTAATCTGACTGGCTGCATCATTTTTCTGCTCAGGGATAGGACTTGTTTTATTTCTTTTGTTCCAGGACTGCCTGGTACCAAAGGTGAAAAGGGGGACATTGGTGTTGGCATTGCAGGAGAAAACGGTCTTCCCGGCCCCCCAGGTAGGAAAACCACCATTTGAGACCATGAATCCAGAGCAGCAGAGACCCCTTTTCTTTCCGTTTCCTCTATGACACAGCTGTGTCAAACTCCAAACAACGACAGGCCAGTCAACCACATTTATAGTAATGCCGCTGTGTGCAAGACACTCTGCCAGGGCCTGTGGGGATGTGGGGGCGGAAGACTCAGTGCCTGTTCTTAAGTCTTAAACTGGGCTAGCGTGACGCAGTAGGAAAGACCTGCATGGAGTTGGGGCCGAGGAACTCGAGTTCAAGTTCTACTCAGCACCTCACTGGCTATACACCTTGAAGAGGCCATTGAAACCCTCTGGAAGTGCTCTCTAAGATGCATGCTTAGCTGTATAGCCTGAAGGAAAATGGCCAAAGCCTGATGACCTGGCTCTGAGACCCAGCATCACAACTTAGCAGAGGTGTAACCTCTCTGAGCCTGTATCCTCATCTACAAAATTAGAAAATAGCTTCTTTCTCAGGAAATTGTGCAGATTCAATGAATAATGCATCAAAAGCACTCAGCCCTGTGCCTGGCACATGGAAGTTCTAAATAAAACTTGCCAGCAGTATTGTTATTGTTGAATCAATGTGAGGATCAGACTAGGTCTTCATGAAAACATGTGGTAACTTGAGAAACAGTCATCAAATGTAAGTTATTATTTGATGCCATTATGGCTTTTTTTCCCCTTATGATCTGGGTCTTCTGATTTTCCCTCTGTGGCCCTTCCCTCCCTAGGTCCTCAAGGTCCTCCAGGCTATGGCAAGATGGGCGCAACAGGACCAATGGGCCAGCAAGGCATCCCTGGCATCCCTGGGCCCCCGGGTCCCATGGGCCAGCCAGGCAAGGCTGGCCACTGTAGCCCCTCTGACTGCTTTGGGGCCATGCCGATGGAGCAGCAGTACCCACCCATGAAAACCATGAAGGGGCCTTTTGGCTGAAATCGCCACCTGCCTTTGGATGAAGGACTCCGTTGGGAATAAACGGCCAAAGCTTATAGGACTCTGTGACAGGTTGTGAATGTTTTTGTTGTTGGTGTTATTTTTAATTGCTGTTAATATTTTTTAAATAATAAAGAAACAAAACTATCTGCCCTTTCCCTTCCAGTGGGTTCCTCTGGTGCTGCAGCCAGAGCTCCCTGTTGCCCTCCTTTTCTCATTTAGCCCCAGGATCAAAAAAGAGCATTTTGGGTACAGGGGCACACACCTGTAATCCCAGCTATTCAAGGGGCTGAGATGGGAGGATCGCCTGAGCCCAGGAGTTTGAGACCAGTCTAGGCAACATAATGAGACTCAGTCTTAGGAAAATAAAAAGTAAAAAATAAAGGATATTTCTCTCCTTGCCTGTGGTCAGCCAGTGGCGCTGTGGGATATTGCTGGATAGGGGCAGCTGATGATCCTTTGCTCCTCGGGATCTTGTGCCCTGTCCTTCATGCCTATGTCTCTTAAGTTAGACAAGGAGCATCATTCAGCCCCTCCTTTCAAGTGAACCAAAGCATGCTGGAAGGCCCCACTTTCGGCTTTAAAGGTCCCTCCCTATTTGATTCCCTAAAGAAACCAGTGTTCGGTACCCCACCCACTCTTTGCCCATCCACTTCACCTTGTCAGTGTGACCCAGAGCCGGTCCGGGTTGCACCCTGGGAAAATGCTACCCGGTGCTGAGGTGTGTTCATCCGCCTGGAAGCCCTTCCAAGCATGCAGGCACTTCTTGATGCTCCAGTAATTCTGTGATTAGAAAACCTGTGCAAACAGGAGAGAAGACAGGCTCCAGCTCTGTCCTAGGTGGCCAGGGAATGCTTCTCTGGGAAATGAGATGGAACCTTCTGCCTGTACCAACGCATGGCCCCGTCACCAGCTCTCTATAAGTGCTTCCAGCAATGACTTTCTGGAGGGCAAATAACATCTCCTGTTATTCTTCATTATTCTAACATATGTGGTACTTTTCCTGTACATTTTAGCCTAGATCTTTAGAAACAGCCAGGTTGTATCAGTACAAAGGGGTCATGGGCAAGCCACGAGCAGATCTAAGCTCACGCTCCTCAAAGTCCACTGGGAGTTTGGTGATCTATCTGTTGTCTCCTTCTCCCTATGTAAAAAAGGCTAGGAAGGGGAAAAAAGACAGTGAACTGAACATTATAGAAACATTCTCTCTTGAGCTTCTTCCTTCTCTACTTTTTAGATCGCTTGTCCTGATGGGCTGGATGCCCTGCAAGAAAGCAACAAGGCACTTCCAGGGGGATTTCCAAAGAAAGCTTTTGCACTGGCCCCAGTTATCTGGAAGGTTTATTCAAGTTGGATACACTTCAAAGGACTCACAGAGCAGGCTCAGAAATGTACCCAATGTCTAGATGCTTATCCAAACTGCCTGAAGCCTTCAAACCGGCTGTCAAATCTCTGCAGAGCTGGTATTTCTAGCACATTTCTGAAAATTCCCTTCTCTAGTTGGGTCCCAAATAACAGGAGACCAGCCTATTGATGGCTTTTCAGAACCTTTGCCCCATTTTTTTTTTTTCCTGCCAGGAGCAAAGGTGTGCTGGTGGCCAGGAGAATGAAATCAGACTCCTGAGCACGCCCGAGTGTCTCATGTGATGTTTTTAGATAAAGGAGGTGCTGATTCTTTTTTCATTTCTCCCCAGCTATTCTCAGTTAACCCTGGTTCTAACAGAAAACATTAAAAAGCAAAGGCATCATTTTTGCATTGAAGTAGCGGCCAGGTTTTGGACAGTGGAAGAGGACAGATGTTAAAGCACTCCCATTGGAAGGCCAGCTTCCTCTTTCAGCCTAGTCTGCCGAGTACTAGCTGATGATAGGCCTTATGATGAGGAGCATGTTGGCGCCAGCAGAAAGAAAGAAAGAAGCAAGGACCAGCTGTGGAATTGAGCAGGTTGGCTTTGAAGACCAGACGGGAAAAACTGCTATGAGGAAATATCAAACTCATCCCCTTTAAGGGTCACCAGGGAATCGATCCTTATAGAGTAAATGATGCCTTCTTCACTTTTCTTCCTGAGTCAAATTCATGCTACTCTTAAGGGATTCTACGACAGGCTAGGTTTAAGCTTTCATGATTTGAATGCATGTCTCCCTGGAGTTTGAAATTGCTGTATTTTCTTGGACCATGAAGAACCAGATGGAAAGCTGAATTTTATAGTCTCTTCTGTTACTGTGGTCAGCAAAAAATCCATGGATCTTGCTCATCAGTTCGGGAGCTGGGTAAGCTGAAGAGAAAGCAAGGAGGGGCATGTGTCGTCCATTCCTCTTAGGCAGCTTTTGCACATTCCAACCCCATTATCCTTCTGTCTTCACTTCTTAATCTACTCCAGACTTTCGAGGCAGCACACAGATCATTCAGATTGGAAAAGTCTAACTTGATGAGTCCATTCCTTTTCCCACTTTGTCCCAGGGACTGTACTAAGGCTCTGGGGATCCCAAGGCAAACTACACAGATATGGTCCCTGCCCCCACAGTGTCCACAGGGAGAGCAGACAGTTAAACAAGCACTTACAATAAAGTGGGATGACAGGGCAGTGCCAGGTACCAGGGGAGTGCACAGCTGGGGAACCTAAACGTGTCTAGATAAAGAGATGGATTCAGGCAGAGGGAACAGCACATGCCAAGGCCCAGAAATGACTGGGTGCAGCAGGCTGAGTGATGGGAGACAGAATAGTGTGGTTGGATTTTGGAGCATGAGCAGGGGAGACACAGTGTGAAGCCACTGGTGAGTTTCTCACAAAGGTGTGTCAAGTCAGGTTTGCCGAGTGGGGAGTTCGCCGATTGCAGTGTGAAGGATAGGACTGGAGGGTCCTTAGTTAGAAACCCTCTGCTCAATAAGATGGAGAAAAGGCTGCTGTGTATTTATTCTGCAGAGAAATATCTAAACTTTGATGCTTCTGGAATTTAAATCTTCCTTTTTGTCATAATATTTTCCTCTGTCACTCAAATTCAACAGAATCTAATTAGACTCTTTCTTCATTTGGGGTCTGTTAACCCCTTTACAAGAATAGATTTTTCTTTTTTTGGAGGTGGGGGGACGGAGTCTCACTCTGTCACTCAGGCTGGAGTGCAGTGGTGCGATCTCAGCTCACTCAACCTCCGCCTCCTGGGTTCAAGTGATTCTCCTGCCTCAGCCTCCGGAGTAGCTGGGACTACAGGCGTAAGCCACCATGCCCAGCTAGTTTTTGTATTAGTAGAGACAGAGTTTCACCATGTTGGCTAGGCTGGTCTTGAACTCCTGACCTCAGGTGATCCGCCTGCCTCAGCCTCCCAAAGTGCTGGGATTATAGATAGATGTGAGCCACCATGCCCAGCATTGGATTTTTTTTTTTTTTTTGTGCTGGAGATCCCAAAGGACTAGATCTTTTTTGTGGCTGTCCTGAATAGTTTATGGGAATAGACAATGTCAATGTACTCTCCTTATGATCCCATAATGGAAGGGAAGTGTGGCCAAATTGCCACGTCTGCTGTTCTCATTCCTTGGTTGCTTCTGTGGAAAGTTGCAAATCATCCTCTGATCCACAGCATCCAACTGGAATTTAAATTTCAGAACTGGATCTAGTTGGAATCAAAGAGAATTAATTCCATAATAATTAGGTGGGTGTTGGTATTCCTTCTCAGTAAGCCATACAGAAGCTTGGTGCAGAGCCAAGTGGCTCTTGGGAGGCTGTGTCTCTAGGGGAGGCAATATTTTCCAGTGGATGGGCCTTTCATTACCAAGCTCTGCCTCACCTCTAATGGGTCAACCGCAGGGCTTCCACCAACTCAGGAAAGTGCTCTGTGCTCTAAAAAAAGGCTGGAATCCATGCTTTCCCCTTGGGCTACAAGTGAAACAATAACAGGAACTTCTCCACCCACCTCTGTCTGCCTCAGGTAGTTGAGGTTTTGGAAGCGAGTTGATTGTTTTTCAGTCTTAGGAAGATCCTGATCTCTCTTTTATCCAGCCCCCTCCAAAACAAACATACCTGGGCCTGTGTGCGTCCTCAGGGGCACAGCCCTGGCTGTTGGCTTTGGCGGGTCCCTGACTCCCTAAGAGAAGACGTGGATGCCCCATCCATGAAATAGCACAGACCTCCCACAGATAGTTCTCCTAAGCCCTTTGCTGGGCATAGGGGAATGGGGGCAAATAATTCTCATAGGAGCTGGATTCTCATCACCTAGAACAGAGCCTGGCAAGAGGTGGGAACTCAATGGGATAATATGTTTATGGAATAAGTGAGTGTGTGTCACATGACTCCAGTTTGCAGGCCAGCTTGTCACTGTTCTCTCTCAGGCAAATATACCCCCTTGACCTTCAACCTTCTTCCCTTCTGAAGTTTTGCAGTTCAATTCCACCAATATTTTTTTGAACTAGGGAGTTAGAAAGGTAAAGAAGACACGACTTACTATTAAATACTGAGTAGTTAAAAAAAAAAATGCAGACCTGGGATCAAGTCCTACTTCTCCATTTATCTTCCCCCCCCCTCCCCAGACAGAGTCTCTCTGATGCCCAGGCTGGAGTGCAGTGATGCAAACACAGCTCATTGCAGCCTTGACCTCCTGGGCTCAAGCAATCCTCCCATCTTGGCCTCTGGAGTGGCTGGGACTCCAGACACATGCCACCATGCCTGGCTAATTTTTTAAAACTATTTTTTATAGAGACAGCATCTCACTATGTTGTCCAGGCTGGTTTTGAACTCCTAGGCTCAAGTGGTCCTCTCTTCTGCTCCCAAAATGTTGGGATTATAGGTGTGAGTCACTGCGCCTGGGTTCCATTTACCTTTTTGATAACAGGAAGGTCACTTAACCTCTCTGAGCCTCAGCTCCTCATTATAAATGGGTAATAGTATCTATCTCAAAAGACTGTGGTGAAAATTAAACAACACATAGTACTTAGCACAATGTCTGGCACCTAGTAAGCACTCAATACATGATGATAATAACTACTAACGCTGAATTCATGCTAGGCACTATTCTAGGTGCTGAGGTTAAAGGAATACATAAGAAAATGACAGTTCTACAATATACATGTAAACAAATTGGACAATTCAACTAGTGACATGTATTATGAAAAAATAAGATAGATGATGGGAATGTGTGGGGTACAGTGTCAAGAAATG